GTGGTGAATTGAGCAGAAAGAGAGGAGAAACAAAAAGTCGAGTGGAAAAAAGATCCGAGTTCAGCTGGACTCATCACCTGACCCAACGAGAACAGGAGAGAAGAGAAGAGGAAGAATAGAGACACCCTTACAGTATACAAGAAGAAACACTGAATTAGAGAGTTAATTATGGCGATTATGGTCAGTTGATACGCTCTGCTGACTGTTGTTGATTTTCCCCTTTCGTATATCCCGACTTCTGACTACTCCCTCTCTGCTCCCCTCTACTTTCTCCGCTCATTCTATCTGTCCACAACCCGACAAAGCAACAGTTTCTTCTATCTTGGTAAATCTATTTCAGATGAATCGACTGAAGATGCCCGGTTTGAAAGCCGGTCCGATGAAAGAAACGCCCAACGCTACAAAGACACAGTGGACGGTCCGAGAAGACCACCACCAGGAACTTGAAAGATGAAAGAGAGACACGTTTGAAAGACGACTCGTCGGCGGCTACATAACGGCTCAGGATGCTGTTACAGCTCCGGTCCCTGTGGTGGGCAGTTTGATATCCTCGATGAGAATGCCTCGAAGGAAGACAATGGTTCACGATGTCTCTATGCTCGAGATCATGACTATATCAGCACCGGCCTTACATCTGCAATGCTATGAGTCTCTCCATCTTGGACATCTCATGGCCAAAAGAGTAGCATAGCGCGTTTTTGTCCACCGGCAGGGGGATCTTGTCCACTCTATGCCCGAGTCCAGCAAACAATAGGTGAACTGATCATCAATGTCCAAGTACCATTCTCTCAACCTGGGAATACCTTGATCATGTCAGTCTTTGTCCCTGGGATCTATTTCAGATCTCGATCTAAGAGTGACAGTCTCTTTTGTCCGTCGCATTCGGACGGAACCATTTCAAAGAATCTCTTTTTGATGGTTTTCTACCAGAGTCACGTTGACCAAACTCTCTTTCATCAGATACTCTCTTTGTCGAGTGCCAGGGTTTCTCTATCCGTACTATATTCGTACTTGAGTATATGCTCTGCGGTTGGAATTTATTTCACTTAACATCGCATGTCCCTCCCTGTCTGACCTTCATTCCTTCTGAATCATATCGAGAAGCTGTGAACCACTTGCTTCTATCAATTTCATTTTTAACTATACCTTTTTGCTTGTGTCATGTCTCATAACCGCAATATATTTTACACCCTCCCTCCTGATAAAACAATCAAGCCCCCGGAATTTCCGCCGCGGCCTGACCTATTTGACGAAGTCCAATGGGCTCCGTATATCTCTCCCGAAGATGCAAAGCTCGCTCGTCAGCTCTGGGAGCTTCCGGACTCGATCCTCGGCCACGTGAAAAACCCAAATGGCCCTTTCCATCCACGCGATGCTACAGCAATGGATGCCCTGGCGTATAATGTCTATGAACATCTGATGCAACAGCACTTGATCCCACCTTCGGAAAATGACTGGGAGCAGAAATGGGAGGAAACCACGCTTCATAACAAAACGTGGTCAGTCCAGGAAATCTTCGATCCTGCAAAGGGGTTACACGCACAATACCCCGATGGCCCAATTCTGATACAGGGACACGATGTATTGAGCGCACCGTATTGGACAGTGGCCAGGCTGCGAGCAGAGCTGCACAGCCGCGGACTGGATGGTTCAGGACGCGCGGCGCATCTTCGAAGGCGTCTGCATGATGCCGAGCGCCGATCCCTGGGGTATACTTTCTTACCGAAAAGCGACCTCTCGCATTGGGGAGTGAATAGAAGCGACAACTTCACATTCAAACTCTCGGAAACGGACACCCTCAAGCCTCTTGACATGTATACCTGGGCCATCATGTTGAGTCCTTACAACCCTGCCTATTGGCTGAGCCGGGCTTACTGTCACTATTTGCAAGCATTTTTCGACCTCGCAATTGGCGATGCATATCGAGCGCAGCTTCTCTGTGAAGTGCTGAATGATGGCCGACAGCGAAACCGCCAGCCTGGGCTCTACCTGCGGATCTGGAATGCGATTGAGCAGCATATTCTGGCAGATCGTATAAAGTCGGAGACTGAGACGCTACGGGGAACGAACGGAATTAACTCCTTTGTAGCTACAATCCGCAGAGCGCTCCATAACATCATTAGCCTCAGTCTTTCAGCGCTTAGTTCCTGGAAGGACTACAAGGTGATGGAACGTTATCTGCCGGAGAGAGTTATCTTTAGCAACTACCGTGATTCAAGTGCCTTCGAGCGCCGACAAAGAATCCTAGAAGATACGGCCAGAGAGTATAGAGGCAAACGGAGCAAGGAACGCCTTTTCTACCACGAGGAAAACGCCGGGAACGTCAACGGCGGAAAACAGTATCCGTACGGGGCAGACGATAAAGACCGGACCACGAGCGTGTCACTGGAACTCATAAACAACAATGCTTTCAGGGACTATCCAAAGTGCGAAGTTCGAGCGAGTGCTGAAGATGACTCACTGTTTGTCGTGGCGACAGAGGATATCGAGAAAAAGACATTGATCTTTGCAGAGGAGCCTTCGATCCGAGGGCACCTGGGAGTGGCCCAGCTCCCAGAAGATAAAGTTTTCTACGAGTCAGAAGAGCCTCGATGTGAAAATTGCCGCAGGCCCATCGATGTTGATGTTCTGGGTCGGTATGATAGCGAAAGCCTTACCATCAAGAATGGGACCCATCCAGAAGCCTGCCCCTGTCATCTCCTAGAGGCTAAGGAGCATTTGTATTTCTGTCCGGCAGAACCGCAACAGGGAACCACATGCCTCCAGATAGCCCAGAGATTATACCATTACCGGGTCTGTGGAAAGAATTGGGACTGGCTACACGATGCAATGCGTGCTAGAATCACGCCCTGGAAAATGTTCCATCACTACACCGATCTCGAGGACTATCTCGAGCACCATCTCAAGGGCCATTTGGATTTCTTTACGCACACGAACGAGAAACACGGAACAGCCTTGAGTCTCCTCCTCCGAGAAGTCTTCGATATCACCCTGATGAGACGTATACGGACGGGAGACGCGAATCTCATGGCACACGAAATCGACGAACTGGCCATGCTTGAAGATCCCAAATCCTGGTCCAACAGCTGGTTCCCGTTCACGTTTGCCGCAAACATCCGCGTCCCGTTCGACATCCTCCTACAACTGGGCGTCGACATATTCAGCGACCTCACCTTCGATACTTGGGTCATCCAGACCGTCCTGCGGAAACTGATCATCAACGCCGTACCCTGGGACGAGAAATGGCGCGGGGACATTGAACGAGTCAAGCGAGAAGGACTTGGTACAAATGGAGAACTGCCAGGCACAACGGCTCAGAAAGCTATGCTAAATGAGAAGAAGAGCTTCGACGTGTTTCACCCGGACTTCGAAACGCTGTACCTATTCTCTGGTTTTAGCTTGTTCAACCACGCCTGCAACTACGGAGGACACAATGCGAACTGGGGATATGACGAGGAGATACCGAATCGTATGCTCGTATGGGCTGCTGAGGATATCCCCAAGGGCACCGAGATACGCATCCCATACAAGTATAGGCCGATGTCCTCTATGTCTGCGCAGCGAATCCTCGGGAAAGACTGTCAGTGCCCTCGCTGCCGTGACGGCTACATCCCAAGCGAAGAAGACGATGACTCCGACGATGAGCACTACGGCCAGAGCAACGGCCAAAACAATGACCAAAACTATGCGCACTACCATAACTACTACAACAATAGTCCCCCTTATGACCCTCCTGAAGGAAGAGAAGGCGACACGGAAAGCATTCCTTCCGAACACTACGACCAACTAGAAAGAAACAACACCCCCGCACGAATCCTACGCGAAGGCCGCAACTCAAATGGACCTCTTAGTTTCAACCAAATGCTTTCCAATCCATACGTGCCCGGAAGCGTGGAGCGGCCGCGATCTTCGCAAGTGTCGCCAATCACGGAGCAGGCGCAACCAGCGGAGAATGTACTGTTTGTGGAATCGTCGTCGCCACGACAGCAGTCACTGGAGCCTCAGAAGTCATCGGAACCAGAACCATCGCAGCAACTAGAACAATCAAAGCCACCAGGACGATCAGATTCAACACGGGCTATGCCTCCCCCACAACGGCCGCAACCAAAACAAGCACCAGCACACCCACAACGACCGCAGCCACAAACCAACAGGAGATGGCCCAAGATGAAGTTCACCCGGCCTGAACTCCATCCTGAAAGATTCTTTGCACGTTATGGTTTTTATCCGGAGGATCCTAACAGGCCGAGGAGCTCGAGTAGTCCGCATGTTTCAGCGAGTTCGAGTTCGAGCAGTGACTCGAATCCAGACCCGTTTCGCTACCCACCCCATGACCCTAGTCAAGATCGTGATCGAGATCACGACTCGGACCCTGATGCGGACCAGGGTCAAGGACAGGGCCAGGGCCAGAGTCGGAGTCGGAGCCAGGATCAGGGACAGGATCAAGATCAGAGTCATAACCAAGACCAAGACCGGGGTGAGAACCAGAGTCAGGCCGAGACCCAGAGTCAAGACCACGACGATACCAAGAGCGAAGGTAGTGGATCGAGTCGAAAGCGAACACGATCGGCAGAGGATAATGGGGGCTCTATGATTGACCGTTATGTGAAGGCATTGAGATGGAGGTTTTAGACCTTTTTTTTCTTTCACTTGTTTCCTTTTTATGCCTGGGCGTTTGGGGCGAAGGCACTTGTTCTGTATTGTTTTGTTTGCTTCTCTTGTGCTTTATGTGTTTGATGTTTTACGACTGTTGATAGACTACTATTATAGATGTTTTCTGCGGAAGCCTTGCTTTCCCTTTCCGTTTTCAGTCCGAGTCCCCACTGTTTTTTCATAAATGGTATTATTCTGCCAAGGCTCTAACTAACTATGCACTTAGTGCCCCAATGATCAGGCATGGATGACTTGGTAGGGCTACGACCAAGCCTATTACGTACAACAGCAGTAAGTGAACCATCATCGAGGGGTGACTTTTTATCCTCTTCTTCTCTCTTTACACAATGGTGCGACTCCCAGTTCGAAACCTCGCGACCAGAATCTGCGGACTCCCATCATCCGTCCTAGAGCCGGAACAATACAGGAGAGATCCAATTCTTGACATTCGAAGTCGATGGGAGCCATGCCTTCACTTGTGCGAAGCAGGGCTTCCATACAAGGTCTGGACGTCCCATGATGTCTTCAAATACCATGGCTTATACAGACACCATGGCGTGTTCAGTGACCCATACGACTTTCAAGTCTTGGATCTTGGGCTGCTGGTGAATGATATAGAAGAAGCAGCAAAAATCTTGGAAGGGGCTGGATATTTCCGTGCAAGAATGCCAAATGCAGAGCAGGAGGGGATGTGCTACCATTCTGGAAATGGCCGGGGTTGTATTCGCTTGCTTAATACCAGTGCAATAGTGCAAGAGTACATTCGACGGGAAACATTTGAGCAAGTCACTGCAAGGATTTCCCTTGCTGCTGGCGTCAAGGACACCTATGTGATTGATAACAAGTGGTCAATGCAAGGACTTGGAAATGGCGTCCTATTGATGCTGGCTAGTGATTGGAATTATGCACTTCCTAGTCAGATGAAATCCCCTATATTTTATCAAGTGATGCCCGAGTTGTCAGAGTACTTTGACTCACACTTACAGCCTATGGATGGATGTGCCGATTTCATTTCCAGTTACAACGATTTTTTTCTCGGATCATGCGAGACTTTGGCACCATGCAAATATAATAAACAACCTGATATCTGAGGCCGATGTGGCCTGGACGGTCGAAATTGAAAAGACTGTTAAGAAAGAGAACCGCCAGACATTGTTTGACCTCTTGGAGCCGCACTACAGTGGTTAACAAAGCGAGGAACATGTATTCTTACTCGCCTGATGATCGATGCCGATTTCCAAGCATATAGCAGAGCCATCCGCGATAAGATTGATGCCGGTGCCCATGAGCCAGTTTGTTCTCCTGGTCTTAATCGGTATCGGGTAAAGCCATACCCCTGCCTAGAGGCTAGGCCAGTAAGCGCAACTAACAGGAGTGCAAAGAGTGTCTTCCAAAACTTTCATAGCTAGTTCGAGCGCCCTTGGGGAAGGGATGGATATTACTTTCCTTGAATCTGGATTGCATTCTGGCAACCAGGAAAAAGAAAAGGATGAGCAGGCCATCGGATCGATTCTTGAAAACGCGCCAGCCGGAGAGGGAACCAGCGCAGTATTGGACATTGGAGTATCACCTCCATGATATCTTGGCTGACACACATAGTTGGACCTACAAGGAATCATGATTTTTATCATTTTTTGTTGTTTATTCTGTATCAATCCTGTAGGCATGGGAGAGAACACAAAGGCCCCTACGTAGCATATCCATGGTCCATTAGCCTACGCTAATTCCAACAATTGTCCAGAGGCGACCAAAAAAAGTGCTACTTCGTATAGACTAAGCTCCAAATACGCTGTAGCTCTTTGTACTCCGTGTAAACTTCAAATGGGTATTTATTACCGAATTGCAACGCTAAATAACAAAAACATAGCACACATAAGATCGTTGCTTCACGCACTCCGAGCCGACGAATCCTCCAGCTCATCATTAGCCAGCTTGCTCGCTGCCGACTGCGTCATAATACCCGCGCAGATGTAGATGATCACCGCGATCACCTCGGGCAGGAAGCTGAGCACAACGCGGAGTGCAAGGGTACCGTAGTCCAGGGTGAAAGATACTTTCTGTGTACACAGGACGATAAGAGTGTACAAGACGCGGATACCAATGAAGACGAGGGCTAGGCAGACGGAGGTGACCAGCTGGTTTTGGGGGCGGTTAATTTTGCTCTACCACATGCAGGCTTTGGGTGACAGGAAAACTCACTATTGTCCCTGCGCGTACGACGGCGCCATACTTTGCCCGTGGTGCGGCAAAAGACAGTCCAGCCAGCCCGACCAGTATCCCCCATGCAGCAGTCAAAAGAGCAATCCCCACCTTGACCATCTGCTCAGCATTGTCGATTGGCTCGTCAAGGCGCTGGAGTTTAGAAGATCCGATGGCCGTAAGGACGACCCCGGCGGCTACCAGACCATGCACGAAGAATTCGAAGATCACGGGGGCTTTCCAGCCTACAGTGCGGATGCGGTATGTTCTCCTATTTTCAGTCCAAGTTAGCCAAATCATATATTCAGGCTCCGGGTAGATATGTCAGCACTCACGCTTCATGTAGGATGCCATTTGTTGCTAGCAGCAGAGGTGAGAGTCCCACGCTGGAGATGATGCCGGCAGCAGTGCCAGTATTGCTGATCTCCAAAGCACCACCGACAATCCGGATGACGCAAAAAATCGACAGCAAAAGCCATCCAGCCAAGCCAAAGCGTGCATGTCTGACAAGCAAGTACAAAACTGGAATAATCAAGACGGCGTAGATGGCGCACGTGGCGATAGAGAGGGAGCCGGTCATTTTGGTAGAAATTGAGAAATCAGTGATCAAGACTAGTGAGACCCGGGGGAAAGCGACGATTGATATCTTAGCCCCCCGTATCGTGGGTGCCTTGCTGCGCCGTACCCATTTTAGGAACGCAGTGCATCCCGTAATCGAACAATCGTGATGTGTTTGTAGAATCCGTGATCTGCATGGGGCATAAGGAGGCTGTGATAGAGAAGCCCTACAATCTATTGGGTCATTACTATTCCGGCGTACTCAGCCACGATGATGAAGTCTTTGCCAGCGTGAGGGGCCGTTCAATGAACATAAAGATTTTTTAATTCCATTATCCATACAAATCAACGAGAAAAAGAAACCAAACTGGAGCATAAGTAGAATACAGATCTTCAGACACATCCATCATCATATGCCATCTAACGGACTTGGATGTGATCACAAAACCAGGTCATAACTAAACCGAAAACCGATCAAGTACGCTGAGGAACCCTAAGCCGGCCCCCGAGACGGTGCAACTCTCCAATAACACCACCAGAAGACTTGGTCCACAGCTGCGACACCCACTGGAAATTCATATGTTGGCGAATAAGACCGCTCTTTGCCCAGAACTCCATGTACCCCACGGTGTCCTCAGGCGTGAGACCAGACAGGGGCTGCAGTTCCAATTTACCCTCCTTATCCGAGGTGGGCTTCGGGGCGGTGAAGGCCTCGATGACGCGCGAGTCTGGCTTCTGGTATGCGTCTACCTGGGGGAATTCCGGGCTCTTAGGGTTCATGCCCGAGGTGGTGGCTTCGAGCTGCTTGAGAGCGACGTCGAAGGAGTAGATGCGCGGGCTGTTGGAGCCGGAGGTGGCATAGAGGAGGAGGCCGCCGTTGGGGAGTGTGGACTTGCCGTTGGTACTGGGCTGGAGAAGAGAGAGGAAGTGGCGCACGAAGACGAGGTCGTGGGCATGGATGGGCTTGAAGTCGGCAGTGCGGTACTCGGAGTTCTGCATCCAGTGCGAGAGGCCGTCCACGGTGACGAGGATGGGGGGGCGAGGCGCACTCGTGCTGGTGAGTTCAGCCCACAAGGCCTGGAAGACGGGCCAGGCAACAGCTTGGTCCTTGATACCGAGGCCGGTGAGCTGTGCCAGAGTCATGCCGGGCTTGACCAGCGACTTCAGAGCAGGGTGTTCCTGGGAGACTTTCAGGCCGGACAGGACCTTCTCATTGGCCTTGAACGTGCGCTGCAGCAACTGCGAAGTGGCTTGATTCTGGACGTAGAGGCCGGGGTTGGCGTCGCCAAGCGGCGCGTAACCAGTATGCGCGTTGACCAATTCCTGGGCTAAACCTAGTCAGCCTGCATGTCACCAAAAAAGCAGAAAGAGTACTCACTCTCAGGCACAGTGAAAACAACCCAATTCTTCAGAAAACCCATAGCCATAGCCTGCGTCAAAAACACCGACTTCCCCGACCCCACCTTACCAGTAATAACCTTCTTAACAACCTTACCCTGCTCCTCACCCGAAATCTTCTCAAACAACCGGCCCATCTCCAACGCCTCCTTCCTCATAAAAGTCGCCGGACGACGGAATAACCCCCAACCCTGACTTTTCTTAAACGCATGAACGGACCTCAACTGCTCCAGCATCGACACAGGCAGGCCAACGACCGACCCACGCACGCGCGGGTCCCCCATATTCTCAACGGAAATGTTCTGCATGTCCGCCGGCTCCAGAGCATTGGGGTTGCCCAGCACGATGCGATTCCGGAGGGCCTTGCGCTCGCCGATGGGTGGGGGACGGGTCCGCTCGACCGGCTTCTTCCTCTTCATCTTAGCGGATTTGGCCTGGCGGTATTTGGGCCCGCTGTCCAAGCTGTTGCTCTTCTTTGTCGGGTTGGCATAGTGCACGGCGGATGTGTGGAATCCGGCTGTTGTTGCTGCTGCGGTTGCGGTGGTGGTGGTTCGGGGGACGGTGGGCGGCGGAGGTAGGAAACTTGCTCGAGGGAGCCGCGAGAGGCAGCCTCGGCAGAAAGCAGAAGCCATTGTTTGACTGCAATGCACCGGCACGGGCCAGTGGTTGACTGTCAAGCAAGCTGCTGCGAATTGGCAGAGTTGGTGGAGGTAAATGGGGTAGTTTTTGGTGGAAGATGTTAACTTGGGGAATCGGAGCACAGCAGATTATTCCTGTTACTGAAACAGGAATAGTGTGGCGGCCGCCCTTAAGCGCCGGTTCCGACGCCGCGCTAAAGCGGCGGTCCAAAATTTATCTAGAACCAATTTTTTCGCATACAACTTCCGTCACCAACATCAACTTTTTGACCTGCGCTTTGTTTGCGAAAACCAGCACAACAATCAAAATGACAGAAGTCGAAATGGCAAACACTCCTACAGCGGGTGCCGACTCGAAGCCTGAAAGACTGTAAGCTTTCCTCATCTACAAAAACCAGAAACCAGAACTAATGCAACGACGAAAAGCCCCGTCACCGTCTCCAAGCCAACCCCCTACACCTTCGACCTGGGCCACCTGCTCGCCAACGACCCAAACCCCCTCGAACTCCCCCGCGACCAACCCCTCAATGCCTCCCTCAAAGCCACCGCCCGCGACGGCGTGCAATCCCTCCTCAACCAACTCATAACCACCTGCCCCATCACCTCCTCCACGCAACAAGGCGTGCTGCTCACCCTCCCACCGCCCGCCACTGCGCTCCCCCGGCACAAGCCCCTGCCCACGCCCAAACCACCCACGAAATGGGAGCTGTTCGCACGCAAGAAGGGCATCGGCAAGTACAACTCGAAGCCTGGCGCTGCGCTTGCGGACAAGGAGCGGCGCAAGAAGCTGGTGTACGATGAGGAGAAGGGCGAGTGGGTGCCCAGATGGGGGTACAAGGGAAAGAACAAGAATGATGATGATTGGTTGGTGGAGGTTGATGAGAAGGATTGGAAGAAGGAGGAGGATGCTGCTGCGAAGGGCAGCTCTGTGCGGGGGATGTCGAGGGCTGAGCGGAAGGATAGGATACGGAGGAATGAGAGGAAGATGCGATCGAATGAGAAGAAGGCTCGGAAGGGTGGTAACTAAGGCGGTTAATACTGTTTGGTCTTTTCTTTCTTCTTGTTGGACTAAAAAGGCGTTGGGTTGGAGTCGATGGTTCTTGTTTGTGCTATGTTGAACTATACATACTGCCATTGAGACAAATCAAAAGCTGTGATTTACTTTCCATCATTTAGACATTCAGAACAATTACTCAAGTCAAAAATTACTGTCATTCTCGACTGAATTGGCCTCGCCTATCATACAATATCGCACCCAGAGCCAATCTAGAAGGGTGCATAAACAAAAGAAACATTGCAAGGCCGATAATAATGAAACAGAAAAAAAAAAAAAAAAAAAAAAAAACATATGACCATATAAAAGTAGGAAACGAAATAAAGCAGATTGCCATCCTATCGCCAAAGCCATAAACAATAGTAAATGAGAAAGAGCTACACAGACAAGATAGACAGAAAAAGTAAGAGACAAAAGATACAGACCGACTCCAAAGGCGCCAGGCATGCACTTCAAAACGACAATGCAGCGAAAACCAACCATCAGAAAAAGGAAATAGACATGGGTATGGACAGTAAAAAAAGAAAAAAGAAAAAAAAGAGAACCGATAAATCATGTAGCGCAAGCGATATCGAGAACCAAAACCAAAAAGAGGAGATTTGAAAACGTTGGTTATAAAAAAAAAAGTACAAGACGAACGCAATTCTGGATATCTTCCGCTGGCGCCAGGCACAATTAAAGAATGAGAGCTTCAAGGTAGGCCAGCCTTTTTCCAAAAAGTAATCAAGTGCAAATGAAATGAGAAATGGTTCACGATGCAATTCGAAGGTAATGGAGGACAAGATATCGACGGGAAAAGAAAATCATCAGGACTACGTCCTGTCAGCCAATATGGCAAGCAAGTGAGTGTCGTTTAAATTCGAATCGGAGAAAGCGGTGGCCCAAGCTCAGGTAGTTGGGAAATGCTCCTAGTGTGGCTGCTAGTTGCACCAGTATTGATTTCCTTTGGCCTCTGTTTACGGCCCCTGGATGTCTCGGGACGAGAAGGAGGACGCTGTGACTCCTCTTCTGCAGCAGGTTGGCTGCTACCGGAGGACGAGATGGCTCTGTCACTCGCGTGCGGTTCCGATTCAGCTTCTTCCTTGGCCTGTGCGGCCGCCTGCTCTTTTTCATCCATCTCTTTTTCAATCTGGACGTACTCCTTCTCCGTCCAACACCCCTGCCAGCAGTTCTTCCAGTCACAGACCAGGAAGTGGAAGCAAAAGGCGTCAATCTTCATACATGGCTGGAAGCATATGCAAAGATTGCGGTAGTCCATCTTGTTTTGGTCGACATAGGAGTGGAGGAGGTTGAGGTGACAGGTGATGGCGAAGAGAAGGTAGTAGTTGTAGGGTGGCAGCTTCGAGAGTTCGTCCTTCAACAGCTGTGGAGCGGTCGTTGCTCCCTCGCACTTTTCAGCGATCATAGCTTGCGTCTCCTTCGGGAATAATTCATCGGGTAATTCGCGAAGCCATGCCTTGAACAACGAACCGATAGTGTTAATATCGTACAGATCGGGTTCTTCGAAGAGATCGATGTCAAGTTCTGAAACATGTTAGCAACAGCGAAGCCAGAATATTAACAATGAGACTCACCTGTATCAAAGCGTCTCTGCCAGTGTTTCACTTCCTTTCCACTACCAGGCACACGATAGAGACCTTCCTCTTCACAGCCTTTAAAGTTAAGGTAACTATAAAGTTCATTAGTAAGATGCCTGTCAAGTAAGCTAGCGGCAAACTTACTCCACGCAGCGGTACGGCAAAGCGGGCATCCAAAACTCCGTCTTATCCTTGCAGTCTTCGAGTCGCTTCGAGATTCTGGTGCGTCGCGCCTGTTCAATGATAGGCATATTGATGACTGAGCAGACATAGTTGTCATCATTGATCAACTCGCGCTCGTTGGTGCTGCCACTCCTGGTGATCTTGCCGAAGAATCCCTTGCCGGCCTTGCCGATACGGTCCGCAGCGCCAGTGGAGGACTGCTTGATGTTGTTAAACAACGCAGCGGAGGCACCTGACACCTGGCTTAACGACGCGGACGGAGCCATTGCGCCACCGAGGTTTTTGTTTCGAGCAGCGCCGTTGCCAAAATCCACAGGGGATTGGGCAGTATAGTTGCGAGCCATCTGATTTCCGGTAGCTTTGACCGGGCGCTCGGGCCGAAATGTCGCAGATCTCGGGGGTTCTGGGAATTCTCGCTTGGCGGTGTCTTCGAGTCTCATGAAGCTCGTGGAAGGGCGTCGGTTGGCGAGTCGGTTGGTGGACGAGTCGTCCAGCCTGATCGAACGAGAACGCGACAAGAGGTTCGCAAAACGGGGCTTGTTCTTCTTCACGCCCGGTTCGGTAGTCGAGCCTACCTTCTTGATCCCCAATTGCGAGTTTTTGTCGTCTGAATTGTCCGTATCTACCGATAAAGTTGGTTAGTCGTCTGGCGCGCTCGGACCTTGGAGCACGGAAACCTACTTTCTTCTTGTTGGGCAACGGCACCCAGCAAATCAGGAGATGATTCAGATTGCTTGGACGAAATGGGAGTCTTGCGATCTGTCGAGCTCCCCCGACTCTTGGGCTTGTCACTCGAGGTGTTGGAGCTGTCAGACCGTTGGGCCCGGTGGGACGACTTGGGGGCCTTGAGATTGGCAAAGAATGACCGGGACTGGTCGCGGTTATGACGCGGAGTATCCTTGGGGGAAGGTGGGTATTGGGGAATGGCCGTGACACCTGGCGTGGCAGGTGGTTCGGCTGTGTAGGAGCTAGGGGAGCGTGGAATCGTTGGACTAGTGGATTTGGTATTAGAGTCTTGGGTGACAGGACGGATTGTGGTCCCCTTGAAGAATGGTGAGCTCGATGAAGATTTAGGGGAACGGGGTGTCAGGGGACTCGGCCCCTCGGAGCTTTGGCCACCCGGTGACAGTGGAGACGAGATCTTCAAATTCGTCTGCAGGGAGAAAGAGCTTAGATCTAAATTAGGAACGGCCGAGTGTCGCGACGGCATTTTGACTGGTGAGGGAGCGGGAAGATCGTGGGTCTCGCAATGGCTGTGGTGGATAGACGTTGCCTAGCACGGCGCGTTAAGGGGGATTGCGGCGACGAGTGATTTGAAAGTGATATTTCAGGGCACCGGATTAATGATCCAAGTCTTCAAAAGAGGAACACGATCGACCGTTTTTCTTATGGCAAGAGCAAGTTAGCCAACCGTTCATGCGAGACATATTTCAAAAAAGAGAGAATAAGGGGGGGAAGAGGACGAGGACGAAATGGGACATGTACTCCGGATGACGAGAGGATTGACAGATCCTCTCGCCCTTTAAGAGATATTGCCTGACCCATCCACAACCAAAATGAATCAAAATATATGAGGCCTTACTCTTATGTATAAGCCCCTGAGGCATATATTGTTTTCTTTTTTTCTTTTCTCTTTTTTTTTTTTTTTATACCGGACTAGTTGCCTGTTTCTCTCACAAGTCCCGCGAGATGACGAACGCTGTGCCTTTTTTTTCTGCCTCCCACGTTCAAAGAAAAGAATTGAAAGGAAACCAGCCTTTTCCAATTCTTATTTCGCTTCTCAAAGGGCGTGTCTGTGTCTGACTGTGTTTGGCGAAGTCGTCGGCGGCTGGGTGGTTTGGAGCGGACGGAGGACGCGATGTTGGGGGGCGCAATACAAGAGAAGAGTTCTAATGGGGTCGGATCTAAAATCAGCGACATGGCTTTTGTCAGTGGAAAAAGTGGCTCGAGACAAAGGACCGTGCTGGTACGCAGGCAGGAGGGAGGTGGGTGTGTGGAAGGCCGAAAGAAGAGAAAGAAGAAGATGCAACAAAAGGGTGCGCACCGCAAGGAGAGCGACGCGAATGGGGGATAGAGCAACGTAGGGGCTTTGAATGAAACAATGGAGAGCTATAAATATAAAGCTGGCACTTGACGGATTCCATTGCAGCAAAGAAAAAGAAGATCCCCTTGCTGGGGGAGAGGTTTCCACCGTGGTGGTTTCAACGAACAATGGGGAATTCGCAGCACCAGCACGACCACTATAGCTCTACTCGCCACCCCACGCGCGATGAAAGGATAGACGTGAAAGAAAAAGAAACTAGACAGAAGAAGATCAGAACATACCAAACTGCACCCATGTTATTATCAAATCCTCCTCTCAGATTCGTTCAGTTGTCCTGGTTGCTTTTTCTCGTCCGCGTGGTGATTCAGTCGCTGCTACTGGGGGGTAACGATTATTGACGTAGTGGGATAAGGACGACGGGATTCTCGTGGTGGGTTGCGTTGCTTTTTTTGCCCTGTCGCCAATCGTTGCGATAATGGAAACACCGTCCGAGGAAAACAGACAGACGAAGCGCACGAGGGAGGCTGGAAGAAGAATTGGCGATGGTGGTTGAAGACGTCGTGGAGATCGAAAGGAGAGATAGGATGGAATAGTGCAAGTGCACACACACACTGATAGAGTAACTTTAAAAAAAAAAAAAAAATAATAATAATAATAATAATAAAATAAAAAGGGAATAATTTGTAGCGATAAAGATTGACGGTTAAGAGTAAATAAAAAGATCAAATAAGAGAAAGCGTAAGAGCGTAAGAGGGGCTCTACTCCGTAGGTAAAGAGTGGAACGAGGCACGCTCCAACCAACTACTTTCGTCACAGAAGAGAAAGAGAGAGAGAGAGAGAAATAGAGTACGAATACGCACGGTCCTGGACGTGGATTCGATCGGGTAATGTCGTTTGCAATGATCAAGAAGATAGACAAGACGGACAGTTGTCAGGAGATGGAGCACTCTGAGTATCACAGTAAGAAAGAGAGTGCTCCCCAGTGGGGATAGGGTATTATTAGTAGGAATTATGCTCGCAGAACCATGTAATGATCCGAACTCTGTAAGTAATGGTGCCTGTTGAACTGACTTAATAACTCTTAAAACATTGGGAAGCTAGGTTTATGATCACCAATGATTCGTATGGTCAGACCAGAAGAGTACAAAAGTAACCATGTCTTGATGCTCTTAACTATGACTATGTACTCCGTACCAGTGTGACTGTCCAGGGTACACTCTATTATGACGAACAATATGACCATTGTTTTGCGCCCAGGAACAGTACACCGAAAGATCGGAGAGTGGATGCGGTGAGTGTTTTTGAACCAATCAACAGCCCCAGATGGACTATGAATGGCAGCTGGAGCCATGGGCGGGATGATGTACTTTCGACCGCCAATCAGAGTATGAGAAGGAGTACGGGGTCAGACTTGACACTAGTTCTCGCACATACTCGCCACTAGTCTTCTTGGGTGAAATAATTGGCATCCGTACGAAGTATGTCATAGTACACAGCACTTGGTAACAATCCAAGTACATTCGGAATTGTAGAAGAATACCACTACATATTCAAATGCTATTACAGATTAGATAGAATCTAGAAAATACCATCTGTAACACAGAGTACTCTCGTTGCCGGGGAATTGAACGGAATAACGCTTGGATCAGCCGGTTCCTGAACTCATCCAGAAACATTGCATCCATGGTTCCATGGGTTCCTGTCATAACTATCCAACGGTGCGTATGTTTCATTATTTCCCGCCCTATGAAGTATTGTTATTCTGACGAAAGAATAATAATCAGATAAAGATAATCATCAGTATGGAGTACCTCGAGGACAACGTCGCCATCCGCGGATAACTGAGTAATTCACCCTACGTGCTCCATAGGTACTCCATACTGTACAGTTAACGAGGGGCTTGTGCACCGTCAAAACTACCCCTGGATCAGGAACAGAAGCAAAGTGGATATTCTGCTCAACGCTCGTTGGCGAATTCCGTCATTTACTTGCCCGATCCGGCATAGCAGTAAATTTTCACTTCGGGATTACAATCATTCGAAAATGCTGATTCGACGGACAATAAGAACAACACAGTCGCTTGAGCAAATGGTAGGACACGTGGGAGGGCATTAATATTACTGAAAATGGTCAAGAGCAAACTCTCGTCGCAGTAGCGCATAATTTATGCATATCATACAGTTTATTTGTGCAGAATTTGACTTGACCCCTGATCGGTATCGCCACTTTATTTTTGTACATACATAGTACAAAGTACTGGTACTTGGGTACCCTGTAGAACCAAAAATTGGCAGAGAATCAATCTCGATTACAGGTACATACGTACTTTTGCCGGTACTCTGTACGCGAGTAGAACTCCGCAGTACGTACTCTGGTACGTACCCAGCGTGCTCCATACAGGGTACTATTTTGGTGAGCTGCATGACTGCATAACTGTTCAGGGGGAAGGTTCTGAAACACCTGCCCCGCCGACGCTCGTCCCTCCTGTGGCAATATGTCACGTGAGGCTCCGGCTATCGGATGTCGGTCCTTCTCTTGATCCGAACTCCGGCCGTCAAATCACCTCGACTCCCGCAAAACTTTTTCTCCCCTCCCACACACACACACACACTCTCTCTCTCTCTCTCTCTCACTCACACGTGCCTTTGACACATACAGTGCGGCACAGCCTGAATGACGGCATGATTTGCTCGTTTAGTCTTGGTTGATTGACGGATCTGACAGCTGGCGTGGCTAGTCGTCGCAACACTTTGTTTCATTTCTTTTTCTGTGGTTACCCCTCATCTGACCCCATACTTACCCGGCCACTTTGGCTGGACGAACCAAATCATACAAAGATCAGCCTTCTTGCCACAGCTGAAAGATCATCCTGAGATACCAACATGGCTCTGGTCTCTGGCCCCGGACGTGCTGCCGGGAGTAAATTGGACCTGCAGCTTTATGCTGACAAGCATGTGGCCTATGTAGAGAATCTTGACACTGTGCGTGATTCTTAATATGCCATTCGTCAAGAGGAGAACACGGTTGACGGGTGATGCCTAGAGGAGAGATGAGCTGGAATATTGGCTCACGGAGCATCTACGACTCAATGGCGTCTACTGGGGCTTGACGGCTCTACATCTCCTCGACCACCCCGAAGCTCTATCTCGTGAGGAATCGATCAACTTTGTCCTTTCGTGCTTGTGGGACAATGGTGGCTTCGGTGCTGCCCCCGGCCATGATGCGCATATGCTCTACACGGTTTCGGCCGTTCAGGTCCTCGTCATGCTCGATGCTGTGAACGAACTGGACAAACGCGGGCTTGGGGGCAAGCAAAAAGTTGCTTCTTGTACGATATGATCTTTTTTCTTCATGCTATCGTATTCTCACCAATCACCGTTTGCTAAACCATCACAGTCATTGCAGGATTACAGGACAAGGAAACCGGATGCTTCATGGGAGACGAATGGGGTGAGTTGGACACACGTTTCTTGTACGGTGCTTTCAATGCCCTGTCTCTCTTAGGACTCCTTCATATGGTCGATGTTCCCAAGGCGGTTGCCTATGTCCATGGATGTCAGAATTTAGATGGAGCATACGGTATCCGTCCCGGAGCCGAGTCGCATGCGGGCCAGGTATTCACCTGCGTAGGGGCTCTGGCTATTGCAGGAGAATTGGATACCATAAACAAAGACCGTTTGGCTGGTTGGCTTAGTGAAAGACAGCTGGAGAATGGCGGACTCAATGGACGTCCGGAGAAACTAGAAGACTCCTGTTACAGCTGGTGGGTTATGTCCAGCTTGGCCATGATCGGTCGACTTCATTGGGTCGATGGAAGCAAGCTCGCTGCATTCATCCTACGGTGTCAGGTGTGTTTAGCTGTAATCCTTTTGGGGTGATCCATCACTGACACCAGCTCGCAGGACCCGGAGGCCGGAGGATTTGCTGATCGACCTGGTGACATGGTTGACGTCTTCCATACATGCTTCGGAGTTGCAGGCCTGAGCTTACTGAAATTTGAGGGTACTAAGGAAGTAGATCCAGTCTAGTAAGTTTCCTCCAACAGATCAGGTGCCCCTGAAATATAGAACTAACAAAATCAGTTGTATGCCTAGAGCAGTAACATTGAAATGCTTGGCGAAGTAGCCATCATCGTCGTTTCAGAACGCTGTTTCTTTTGCAGTTCGTAGGCCATCAACCTCCGCCAATCTAATAACCCGTTCTTCTTTTCAATGGAGTATGGGATACAAGGCAGGAGAAGAGAGAACGCCATTGTTACTTATTCCGCTTCATACCCCTCCACAATGGCCTCGCAGTCGGCTGTTAAGATCCAATGGCACATTTCTGTAAGAATTGATAGATAATTATAAATTTAATGATAATTGACACGGCCACTGATACTGTTCTTTATTCAATTGCTAGTATGTACGTCTAGCCTTTTCATCCCATCTCGGTGTTCTCCGTAAACGTGACCACCTTCCCGTTTGGGCGGTCCTGCTGCACCTTCCCATCTTCTGCCATCAACCTTTCCCGCTTCTCTTCTTCTTCCTTCCTCGACAATACTGGCCATCCTCTCTTTCTCGATTCTTTCCCCCCTCAACCATTCTTCGTCACTTCTCTATCTCCCGGTGTTATTTGGAACTCCGGGTTGAGTCTTTCTTATCTTGGTGTTTTGTCGTTGTCCTTTTTGTGCTTGTTTCTTGCATGTGGAAGCAGGAGTCAGCATCTCTTATCGGCTGCTTCCCTGGTCGTTCATCCTTCTCTCCACTCTTCGTTTTGTCTGGTCATAATGGACGCAGATGCACTTTTGTGCAATATCTGTCCCAAACGTCCCTCCTTCAGCGATGTCTCCCACTTGTTGACTCACGTCTCCTCGAAGGCCCACTTGTCCAATTACTTCAAGCTCCAGATACGCAGTCAACAGGAACCGCAGGCTGCGGAATTGTTGGACGATTATGACTTGTGGTACAAAGACAATAACCTCCCCAAGTTACTCTCTGATCGGATGGCCTTGAAGGAAGCTCGCAAGAAGAAGCCCCAAGGAAAGAATGGCAAGGGTCATCAGGTTAAGAAGATGGCCAAGGCCCAAGCTACAGCTAGCCCGAAGAACCCGGATCCCCCTGCTCGCCCGTCGTTGCCTACCGTACTTGACCCTCGTCTGTCGAATCCGTTCATGACCACGAGCAATGCTGCTGCCAACGAGAATGATACGCTTTATGCCAGCTACACCCGGCCGGCTACGCCTTCGAATCGTGTTTCCCATGCCCACCCGTTACCGGTGACGCCCCCGAGGCCTATCCCCACGCCGTGGAAACAGGAATGCGAGTCTGAACCCGATAACGATAGCGGTGTGTTCTTGCAAAGCATACCAGATTGGGATACGAGGTTTCACGGCAGCATGGACACCAGCTTTTCTCTGTTGCGTCGATCTATGAGCTATGACCCTTTCGTTGAAGGCGACGATTGTTTCGATTCCCCGCGTATCACCGAGGCAGAAAGGGAAAGGGCAGATGAGATCACGAGGCTGAAGGGCGTTTTATGGCCCGGGATGGATATATTCGACTCTGCCACGGAGCAGATGAGACGCAAGCGAAACCAGAAGAAGGACGAGAGTGTTTTGAGGAGGATGGAAAAGACCTCGATGGGCGTGCAACCGACGGAGCTTGTCTTCTCTCCCACAGGCATACTACGGAAGCAACGTGTGATATCAGGAGATGTGGATGACGGTAGCCCTCTCCCTGGGGAGACACCGATTCCCAAGCGTGTTCCTCGCCCAAAGCGGATCCTTTCTGAAGCCGACCCCAACACTCACCGTGTCCAGACTAGGAAACGGTCTAAGAAGTCTACCGGGAAGGACTCTAGCAAGAAAGTCCGAGTACAGCCTCGACGAAGTGCTCGTGTTCTCAGACCCAGTGCCCCTCGGTTTCTCATGTTTCGTGGTGTCGACAATCGCCCTTCGCGTAGAGTCGATGATGATGACGACTTCGAATTGACCCTCCGAAGACAGGGACCGAAGCCTCGCAGGGGATTTTCAGTTTTTCTGGATGAACCGAGCAGTCACGATATAAGTGTCCGGGAACCTGATCAGCTTGAACCAGAGCCTGAGATTTCCGCCGTTTCTCGTGGGAATGATCTGCTCTCAAATTCGCTTCAATCAACTACCAGCGCTCATGGTACGAACCTTATGCAAGGACCCGGTAGCGCTTCTACGGGCAAGGAGGACATCGAGCCATTTTTGGATGTGCCTGAGAGTCTTGACAGTCCTTTTGATTGGGATTCCCCCGACTCAAACCAGGACTATACTAGTGACGCTGCCTTTCCGTCGCAGTATTTCTTTGGCGATGAGCCACGGGTCGGACTCGGTCTGTTTGACGTTCACGACCAGATGCCAACTCTATTGACGGCCTCATTGCCGAAAATGCCCGATGAAGACCATATATATCCCATGGGTACCCACTCTAGCAACTACAGGGAACCGTCTGTGTTTCGTGATCTCTCGCCCGACGCAACGATCTCTGACATGGAGGAAGAAGAGTTTGAACAATTTTGTTTGAACGGATGCCCTTCATAATAGGCGACCTTTGCTTACTATGTACCCCCACGAGTATTCCGCTATACTTCTTGTATCATTCGCAACGTGAAAACAACGGCGCAGGAGCTAAGGCATTTGTATTTGGACTTTTTGACTGATCAACGGCATTGAACTTGAGCATATAGCGTTAGCATGTTTTATTATACCCACATCGGAGAGAGCATTGAGATTACCCATTTTGTTTTAGCAGCTTCATTATGATTAGCATATTGCCAATACGAATGCATGGTTCATTACTGACTATCAATTGATCTCTTTACCTGCGCAGTCTGTTACATTTCTCTTCTTCTATCGAATATATATACATACGATTGATGCACTAGCGAATGAACTCATGTGCTATATAATGTATAATAATAGATATTCGTTGCAGAAATCACTCTCAAATCCAAAGTCCCTCCTAAAGTCCTCTTCCTGCGTCTTTAGAACAATGTACAGGGGTGTACATAGTTAACTAGTCACTTATAGGGCTGCTTATATAAGCGAAAACGCCATCGCGACAATTTAGCGCGTTGACGCGTCAAGTTCCGCGGTTCCTGTCGGAGCATCTGTACAGAGTACATATATCGAATTCAAAGAAAATATTCATTTGACCCTTGACCAGCTCTTTACTGCTTACTACTAGACTACATTAATACAAGCCACCTCGCAAGGGATTAGACCATCCCGTATCCCCCGTGCAATGCCCATCGTTTAATCACCGCAACCAACCAACCCGCGCAATCGCTCTAGACCACTACAATTGATACGAAAATGCCCCAACCCTCATCGCAAGGATCTGCCTCGTCTCCACCGGATCGGAAGCGGAAACAGCCCACGATCGCTAGCTTTTTCGGGAAGAAGCCGTCTTCGTCGCAGCAATCGCCGAGTGGCGCGGGTAGCCAACCGCAACCGAAACCGAAAGAGAGAGGGGATTCTCGAGGGGATAAGGAGAATAAGGATCGAGTGATTAAAGAGAAGGAGGATGAGGACGAGGAAGTAGTGGCACCGGCGCCGAAGCGGGCAAGGGTTAATGGGAGTCAGGACTCGGGCCGGAAAGCGTCAACTGCAGCTGCAGAGGAACAGGATCCGGTGGCTGATGCAAGTCAAAAGACGGATTTGTCCAAGTTTACGAGTTCACCTGCTGTTGATTCTGCGGAGAAGACACAAACCGACGATCCGGATGCTAAAAGACGACAGAAAGAGAAGGAAAAGCTACACCACAAATTCGTCAAGAGACTCGGCGGCGCAGATTGTCTAATCGGAATCGGAAGTGACGCAACCAAAGATACCACCGGAGGCACCGAAGACGCCGCCGAAGCTGAAGACGACGAGGAACCCGCGAAACCGGCACCTAAAGGGAAAGCGACGAAGAAGGGCGGGAGCAAACTGACGCCGTTGGAGAAGCAGGTTATTGATGTTAAGAGGCAGCATATGGATACGATATTGGTGGTGGAGGTTGGGTATAAGTTTCGGTTTTTTGGGGAAGATGCGCGGGTTGCGGCGAGGGAGTTGAGTATTGTTTGTATTCCGGGGAAGATGAGATATGATGAGCGTATGCATTTCCAATCCTGCTTTACCGGAAACGTTGCTGATTATGATCCGTTGGCAGACCCCTCCGAAGCACATATCGACCGTTTCGCATCCGCGAGTATCCCCGTCTATCGACTGCATGTACACGTGAAGCGTCTCATTACGGCAGGATACAAAGTTGGCGTGGTTCGACAGATGGAAACGGCTGCGCTGAAAGCAGCTGGCGACAACCGCAATGCACCATTTGGCCGCAAGCTTACCAGCCTCTACACCAAGGGTACTTATATCGATGATGTGGAGGGAATGGAGGGTCCTGCTCCTGCGGTTTCGGAGGGGTCACCTGCAACGGGATACCTGCTTTGCATTACGGAGACAAATGCGAAGGGCTGGGGGAATGATGAGAAGGTGCATGTTGGTATAGTGGCTGTCCAGCCGGCTACCGGGGATGTGATTTACGATGACTTTGAAGATGGGTTCATGCGGAGTGAGATTGAGACAAGGTTACTTCATATTGCACCTTGCGAGCTTCTTATCGTGGGCGAACTCTCAAAAGCCACTGAAAAGCTGGTTCAGCATCTCTCCGGCAGCAAGTTGAACGTCTTTGGCGACAAAGTCCGTGTCGAAAGGACCGAGAAGAAGAAAACTGCAGCTGCAGAATCCCACAGCCACGTCTCAAGCTTCTACGCCGAGAAAATGAAGTCCAGCAACGCCGCAGACGACGCGCAAGCAAGCAACCTCCTCCAAAAAGTCCTCAGCCTCCCCGAACAAGTCACCATCTGTCTGTCCGCAATGATCTCGCACATGACCGACTACGGCCTCGAACATGTCTTCGAACTGACAAAATACTTCCAACATTTCTCTGCGCGCTCACACATGCTTCTTAACGGAAATACACTAGTCAGTCTGGAGATCTACCAGAACCAGACTGACCATTCTGCCAAGGGGAGTCTATTCTGGACGCTGGACCGCACGCATACGCGGTTCGGACAGAGGATGCTGCGGAAGTGGGTGGGACGGCCGTTGCTGGATAAGGAGAAGCTTGAGAAGAGGATTAATGCAGTGGAGGAGTTGATGAGTTCTGAGAGGACGGGTTCGGTGGAGAGAGTTAAGGGGTTGTTGGGGAAGATTAGGAGTGATCTTGAGAGGAGTTTGATTCGGATTTATTATGGGAAGGTAGGCATTTCCTCCACTTGGTTGTGAACTGAATGATAGCTGACAGATGCAGTGCACTCGACCGGAACTCCTCACTGTTCTGCAGACGATGCAGATGATTGCGCAGGAGTTTTCTGATATCAAGTCGCCGGCTGATACCGGGTTCAAGTCTTCTGTTGTCGGCGAAGCTCTGGCATCGTTACCGACTATTCTGGAAGATGTGGTATTCTTCCTGAACAAGATCAACATGCACGCGGCCAAAAGTGACGACAAATACGCCTTCTTTCGTGAGTCTGAAGAAACAGAAGAAATCAGCGAAGAGAAGCTGGGCATAGCCAGCGTCGAGCACGACCTATCAGAGCACCGTACCGTTGCTGGTGAAACGATAGGCAAAAAGAAGGTCGACTACGCCGCTGTAGCTGGCATCGAATACCTCATCGAAGTCGAAAACACCTCCTCGAACATCAAAAACGTACCAGCCTCATGGGTCAAAGTCAGCGGCACCAAGAAAGTCTCACGCTTCCACACGCCCGAAGTAATCCAACTCCTCCGCCAACGCGACCAACACAAAGAAGCACTAGCAGCAGCCTGCGACAAAGCATACATTTCCCTCCTCGCAGAGATATCTACACACTACCAATCCTTCCGTGACAGCGTCCAATCCCTCGCAACACTAGACTGCCTCATCTCCCTCGCCACAATCGCCAACCAACCGGGCTACTCGAAACCCGAATACACAGACGAAACATGCATCCGCGTCGAACAAGGCCGTCACCCCATGGTCGAACAATTACTCCTAGACACATACGTCCCCAACGACATCGACATGGCCTCTGACAAAACCCGCGCCTTACTAGTCACAGGGCCAAACATGGGTGGTAAATCAAGCTACGTCCGCCAAATAGCACTAATCGCCATCATGGGCCAAATAGGCTCGTATGTCCCCGCGCAGTCCGCAAAACTGGGCATGCTCGACGCCGTATACACGCGCATGGGCGCGTTCGATAACATGCTCGCCGGCGAGTCAACGTTCATGGTTGAATTATCCGAAACAGCAGATATTCTCAAACAAGCGACCCCGCGATCACTAGTTATCCTTGATGAATTGGGTCGAGGAACATCCACGCACGACGGTGTTGCTATTGCACAGGCTGTGCTGGATTACATGGTCCGCTCTCTTCGCAGCCTTACACTCTTCATCACGCATTACCAACATCTATCGAATATGGTGCATTCCTTCCGCGACCATGAACTCCGTAACGTGCACATGCGTTTCACGGAGTCCGGGACGAACACGGAAGAAGAGGAAATAACCTTCCTTTACGAGGTGGGTGAGGGCGTCGCGCATCGGAGTTACGGGTTGAATGTTGCGCGTTTAGCGAACCTCCCTGCTCCGCTGCTGGATCTGGCGAAGAGGAAGAGCGCGGAGTTGGAGGAGAAGATTCGGCGGAAGAGGTTGGGGGGCTTAGTGAATGCTGTTGGGGAGGTTATGACGGAGGATGGGAGTGATGGGTTGATTGAGAGGTTGGTTGGTAGTGCGGAGCAGTTGTAAATGGTATTATGTTTTATGTTTGTTGTCCGTTGTTTAGCGGTTAGGTTTACTGTATATTATGCATGATGGATATACCTACGCAATAAGCTAATGAATTATATTCAACTGTTATCATGAACGGTCTATAAGCATAGCATAACATTAACCTAAAGACATAACCATAACCATGCCATACCATTCCTATGTATTATACGCAACCAAAAAAACCAAACCCCAGAAAAAGAGCTCAACCCGTCCGCGAATTGGCAATGTTCAAGACCAAAATATCCGACGCCCCAACCTTACTCAATTCATCCATAACAGTCGCAATGTTCTTCTTCTCCACCATCGAGCTAACAGCAACCCAACCCTCCTCTTCAAGAGCGGTGATGGTAGGCGCGCGCTTGCCGGGGGTGATGTTCGATGCAGTCGCGAGTTCGCCGCGGGGGATGTTGTACTGGCACAGGACGTATTTCTGGGCTGTGATGACACCGCGGACACGCGAGGTGAGGAGGTCCACGACGGGGTTGGTAGTGTTTTTGGATTTGACGAGGATGGCGGTGCTAGCGACAACGGTGTCGATGGCCTTGAGGCCGGCGGCTTTCATGGTTTCGCCGGATTCTGCATTCGTTAGCCCATTCTCAAAGAAGTTCATAAATTGGGAAGGTGAGGGGAACGTACCAACGAGATCAACAATGCCATCGGCAACACCCAGCGCACAAGCAGCCTCAACACTCCCCCCAACATACTTAATGTTGGTCTTCTTACTAGCATCACCCTCGCCCTCAAGCCCCGCAAAGAACTGCCCCGCAAGCGCCGTGAAACTAGTCACCACATTCCTCCCAATCAAATCCTTGGCACTCTCAAAGCCCCCCTTCACCGGCACCTGCACCTGCAACTTGCACCCCCCGAAACCAAGATCCATGATCTCCTCAACGCTCGAGGCTTGTCCGCGGGGTAGCTGGGCATCGTGCTCGGCGACCTGGTCGCGGCCTGTGATTCCGATGTCGACGCGGCCTTCACCGACGAAGGTAGGGATATCGGCGGCGGGAAGGAAGATGAGGGCGATGGGGAGGTTCTTGACGAGAGCGATGTCGAGGCGAGTTTCGCGGCGGAATTGCACGTCACAGCCGGCGAGGAGGTCGAGGGTTGCTTGTTGGAGGCGGCCCTCTTTTTTCGTTGTTAGCTAGGTTCTTGTCCTTATAGGTATATGTGCGGGGGGACTTGCTCTTGGGGACGGCGAAGAGGAGTCTTCCTTCGAGGCTGGAATGCTATCAGTATCCTATATTCAAACCCAATTGAATCATTGACTCACTGGTTAACAAGATCCATCTTGACGATCAGCGCGGGGCAATTTCAGACGAGGGGTATCAAGGAGCAATGGAAACCGCAGTGAAGAGGTGAATATATAACAATTAGATAGACAGATATCAGACAATATCCTAGAGAATTGCTCTATCCAATAGAGGCCAGAAAGAAGTCAGTCTGTCGAGTAGTGGAAGATGTTGCAGTCGGAGCGGCGTCGGAGTAGATGTTCGGAGGGGCAGATGCTACTATATAAGACGCCCACGCTATCAAAGGAACAATGTCAATTGGTTAATCTACTATAATAATTGACAACTAGCAATAAGCTAATAACCTATCTGTAATCTGTACACATCTGAACCTGAAGAATGACTCAAAGTTCCTGCCTGAAAGCCTGAAAAACAAGGTATCAATAGCCCTGAACCCTCGCGTAACGTGACGGAGACTAAACCCAAAACAGAAGGCGCACAAATCCACACACCTCCGATTCCGAGCTCTACTCTACTTTGTTCCTTTTCGCCTTGTCAAGCGCTATCTTCACACCTCTTACGCCGTTACCCTCGTTGTCGTCGAGCCCAATCCTACAGTCAAGATGGACGCCGCCAACAAGCAGCCCACTAAGCTCGTCAAGGTCACTCGTGTCCTCGGCCGTACCGGTACGCTATAAATTCTGGAATTTTGGATAGAGGGAAAGGCAGAAGGACTAACGAGGCCAGGTTCCCGTGGTGGTGTCACCCAGGTCCGCGTTGAGTTCATGGACGACACCTCGCGTTCTATCATCCGTAACGTCAAGGGCCCAGGTATGCGATGCGATTGATTTGAGATTTGAGATTTTCGTTGGTTCCCGTTCGCGATGGCATCGATTTTTCCACTACGAAAACACGACAACCGTTGAGATATCACGAATGCGAATTGAAATAAGTGGAGGAATTGATGTGGAACGAGGCAACAAAATGGCAGAAATGTGGAAACAATGCACGATTCAACGACACAACTACAACTCCACCAAACGATGACATACTACGAAACGAACATTGCCAGCGCGAACCGGGAACCAATATGGAAAGAAAAACAAGGGCACAAGCTAACCAGAATCCCCGCAACAGTCAAGGTCGACGACATCCTCTGCCTGCTCGAATCCGAGAGAGAGGCCCGCCGTCTCCGCTAAACAACCTTCCTCCTCACTTCGATTTCCTCTTTTTTCTCTTGCACCCCGAATATCCTTGGTTCCGCTCTTGCTTGCGATGGAGACGAGATGAGATGAGATGATAATTCTGGGAGGTCGGGAAGGCGAAAATGTCATAGCCATAGCGTGTGCTATCTTACGGATGGGCTTCTGATGCGACGAATAAAAATTTTTCTCAAAAAAGCGGTTTTCTCTTGTTTCCATCGGCTCTTTTTTTCGTATTTGGATTAAGAGAGAAATGGGGGGGATATACAATGGGGAAAGAATGAAAAATTGGATTCGATTGAGGTCTTTTTTTTTTTGTTTTTTTTTGTCCACATCTACGCATTGCATTTGCATCGACATCGGAGGTCACTGAAATCAATATCTGATGATCGATTACGACCCACTACCTGGTATTCCAATGCGCCATACCGAAATACACTGCAAAGTCACGCATGAGGCTCCAAAGACAACGAGCGCGACTTCGGGCATCGTTGCTTTCAACTCTGTCCATGCTTCGGTCCAAGTAGTCATTCTGAACGTGCGTAGATCATGCCATCCTGTAGACTGATCAGCCGCCGCAACAAATGTACTACTACATATCACTCATTATTTCCGTATCGATGTCTCAGTCAATTATAGATTTCAACTTCAGAGATCGCTATTCTGGTTTCATGTTAAGTATCACCTGGTGTAAGCATAATTATGGATGAAATGAATATAGATCTCCAAGCTACTCACCCCTCTTTATATTGCACGGGTAGTTCGACGGCCATGTCTGATGAGCAGCCCTCAAAATTGCCCAGGTCGTCCACCCTACCATACAAGATGACACAAATAGAAAGTTGATGGAAGACTAGCTGAATCCTGAGTGGCGAACTCTAAGTGAAGCATACACCCAGGGCAACTGTAAATTAACATGAATGTCACGGGCTCGGAATAGTAGATAATAACGAATCGAATTCCTATCTAAACTATTGTAGCCATCGACGAGAACATCGAATCCAAGGAAAAAAGAGAAGAGGAAATCTATCTAGGGAAAAAGAGAAGCTTTATAGGCGTTTGCTTGACGTCGCTAATGTCTCGTCTGGCGTGTTGATGTCGTTCTATTGTGTCAGTCTTTAACGCAGCGTTGAGCCGTTGATGCGGCGTTGAGCCGTCACATAACCCCCCTTCTTAGGCGGAGTCTATCCCCAGACTCTATGTCGGTTTATTATCATCAGGGTGGTCGTTGATCTCATCAATCCCTTCCTCCCAGGCCTTCAGCCATTCCTGCAGACGGCATGGCGGTCCGGGGTTATTAGGGTAGTTTCGGTGGTAGTCGCGTATGCGGTGTGGGGAGCCCTTGAAATTCCCTGCTGCATACCATGTTCAATCCTCATCAAATCCGACCCATTTGACCTGATACTGCAGTCGTCGGCGGTATATTCGAGAAGCAAGGACTTCTTCCACTTCCCACTCCTGGTCATCTCCGATGATGACTGGCTCTGGAGGCTCTATGACTTGCCCTGGCAATGGATCATTGGCGGCACGACGCAGTTTGTCAGGTGAGAACTCAGGGTGTATCTTCATTGAACCAGGAAGCTCTAGTCAGTAAGAGTTGCCCACCTGCTTAAGGATCAGGAAGGGACCTGCCATCTGGCTGTTGAGCTTCTTGTTTGGGCGATCCGTCTGGTAGTGGTGGAGTGATAACCACACTCTATCACCTACATCAAAGTTAACAGGGCATCTTCATTGGTCTGCTTGCTTCTTCTGTTGGTCCTGTGCTCACTTGATCTGCTCTGCAACTACAGTTCAGATGCTCTCCATTCTCTTGGCAGTTTCCTGAGCTTGTTGTCGACTAATCCTCTCATCCTGGGGAGGAGATCCTTCAATTGGCATCCAATCAAATGAGGTCCAGGGCTCATATCCACAATTAACAAGGAACAGTAATGCATCGGTTGATTCAGAAGGCAAAGTGGCCACAGCAAAATCAATCAGTGGCAGTAGCTCAGACCAATTGTCCTGGTAGTGGTTGATAAAGGGTCTCAGCCAGTTGACAATGTGCTGATTCACAATCTCTGTCTGCCCATCTGTTTGAGCATGGTAAGCTGTTGAGAGTTTCAGCTGAACTTCAAGGATTCAACATAGTTCATTCCAGAATGTTGTGACGGCTACGGCCACAGCGACGGCTCAACGCTGCGTCAAAGACTGACACAGGCAAACGACATCAACACGCCAGACGAGACATTAGCGACGTCAAGCAAACGCTTATAAAGTTCCTCTTTTACCCTAGATAGATTTCCTCTTCTCTTTTTTCCTCAGATTCGATATTCTCGTCGATAGCTACAATAGTTTAGGTAGGAATTCGATTCGTTAGTATCTACTATTCCGAGCTCGTGACACCACCTGGCTTCCGGACCATCAATATGGAGCATATTCAGTATTCTGTAGAAATCTTTCTTGACTAGTGTTTCCTAGCTCCATTGAAAATTGGGCATTTTAGAGGAAAAGTAGAAATTGACATATCCGGGCTTACCCTTTTGGGGTTTTCAGCCCTAGCAGTGGCGCGGATGGTGTACCTCTCATTCCAAGTCTTTCAGTCCTTCTCTCCTCGTAAATTATCATTTCTGAACAGACCACAATTATTCCACTTCATCTTTACAGCCTTTTGAGGTAGAATGATGTCACATGTTTATCCTTTATTCACTCTTCTACTTCTGCCTAAGCGCAAGAAAACTCTTCGCCCTTCTTTTTCTTTTCTCTCTCTCCCACCTTCTTTCTCTCTCTTCGCATCCAATATACTAGCACGGAATACTACGGGAGCTGGTTATCCATCGTCGATTTTCTATCTTTCCAGTTGCTTGTTTATTATCTCTTGTCGGACCGGCATCATGCCGCCAAAAAACACCGATTTCGACAAGTTGAGCACGAATGAGCTAGTAAAACACCTAGCTCAGTTTGCAGGCGTGCCAGTGCCCAAGGCGGATGTCAAGATCATGGGCAAGTGTAATATCACAGGCTGCAGTCTCGTCTACTCTGGCACAGAACAGGCTTTCAAGGAGGTTGGGCTGTCCTGGGGCACCGGCGCTAACCTGATGTGCATGAAAGAAAACTACCTCAAGAAAAAAAGTTAAGCTCCCTTCTCACTTGACCATGTATTCTACTTCTACTAACTTCTAATCTAGGGAAGGCGGATGAAGCGGGACTGGCTGATTATGAATCCGACAAGCGTTTGCAAGCGGCCTTTCAAGCCGATCTAGCCCAGTCAGAGGGAACCCCACGCGTGCATATCCAGGAAGGAAGTGGCGATACCACAGACACTCAGAAGAGCAACCAACGCCGGGACGAACAGTTTGCGCGACAGGTGAAAGTTGCCCAGCAGCAAGCCCCAGAGCTTCGCCATACGGCAAAGCTCAGTGCGGAGCAACGTCGTCGGGTCATTGACCTTTTTGATAAAAACTTCAAGGGTCTGGACAATGCCAAATCCCTGCTCTCCTCTCCGAGCATCTCCGTGAGACTTCCATTTCCGTTCTTGGGGACTGAGATGCCTAAGCGATTCATGGTCCGTAATGACCAGGGAAACTATCATTACATGGGACGGGAGGTGTTCTCTGACCTCGTTGATGCTTTTGACTCAATGACAGAGGGTTTTTGCCATCCAAATCTCTGGGTATATGGCCTCATGGGCTACGGGAAGTCGCACCTTCTTGCAACCCTCACATGTTTTCTCACGGCATACGGCTATCGTGTCGTGTACCTCCCAGACTGCCGCATATGCCTCGAAGATCCTACGAGATACCTGCAACAATGCTTGCTGTTTACTTGGAGTGATCTCCCTGAGAAGGTCGAGGAAATTGTTAAACTGCAGGACATGAATGAAGTTGCCAATTTCATTGCCAATAACTGGTCCACCTCCGTTGTATTTGTCATGGACCAACTGAACGCCCTGGATGACGAAGATGAAGCTTCAACAAGATCCCACGTACGCCGTTGGCTCAAAAGATGTCGCTCTGGGTTGAAAACAGTACTCAGCACTTCGGCAAATAACATCTCTTTCCACCGCATGACACAGAGACAGAATTATGACGATCTTTTCACTGTATATGGCGGGTTCACCAGAGTAAGTTGACGTTGATGACAATTACCTTGACACTACTTCTTTTCAATATATAGGTTGACCTCTTTTACTTGAGCAGGCAGAAATGGACGCTTGGTGGAGCCACCACAGTGCCGTGGCCCTTGGAGATTACACACGGGATGAGGTCGAGGACTACACGGGCTGTAACCCGTTGTTGCTGGTGAGCTGCATCGAAGGAGGCAAGTTCAATCTTGCTTGCGAGGAGATTAGTCGAATGATCCGACACGCACAGCGCTTCACGGGACGTATGAAAGACAAGTGCACCGAATGGGGTTGGTCAAGGTAAATCCTCTGCAGCTACGAATACTAATCATAGCACGCTAACATTCCATAGATACCAATCATATGTGAAAGCCTGTATTACCGAAAGAGCTGTTCCCGATAATATTGACCCAGAGAATGTAGATCATCGGTTTTTCCATGAAAGAAATAGGACTGGGTATTGCATCTGTGGTGCCGTTCGTGAAGCAGTCATTAAAGAGCTGGCTTCGCTCGGGACGTATTTGTTTTCAATTGAAGATAGCATGAGAGCAATGGGCCACCTCGTCAGCAACCCGTCTGTGGTCGGATATTTCCTTGAAAATGCCATCCTTCGCTCCATCGTCACCGCCGGAATTCCCTGTTTGGATATAATCGGGCCAATGCCCCAGTTCATCTTCCAGGAGTTTCCGTCCTACAACCTCTCGCATGAAAAGGCTTTATATGTGCCTAGGACCTACAACTTCCCCGCGATTGATGCCGTCTTTTTGCGTCTTAATAATGTGGACAAGAAGGCTGAGCTCATACCGATTCAAATCACGATCCAGAAAGCTCATAGAAATTCGGAAGAACAATTCTTCAACAACTGGTCCTTCTGGCATGACTACCTTCATGATTATGATGTCAATATCACCTTCCTCTGGATCACCTCGGACGGGGGCTTCAAGCGAACGTCCACGGAGGAAAGACTCCGTAAGACGCGCGGCGGCTCCGAGAAGGTGGTTTGGCCCGACTACGATTCTGTCTACATCCCGCTGAAGGAAGTGAACGGAAGTGTCTGGAGGAAATACAAAGAAGTCCAGGCTAAGCCGGCATTATTACTGCCCAATTGAGGCTCATCGCTCCGTTTTGTGTTCTCGTCACGTCAAGTTATCTGTTGATCTCCTCGATTCTGTCAATGATTCTCGATTGACGGAAACACGCCGTAGTCAGTTAATCTGAATTCTGAATTGAGCTATGTGACTTTACAGAAGTTAGCTGCACTTACTGATTAAAGATGTTTTGTTTTGCGAGCTGATTCTATCGTGAGAAATATATGAAGAAGGCGTATTCGTATGTTTACCATTTTGTAGGGCCCGCGAAATTGGGGAAATCAGGGGAGATGGGGAATGTACTTATGTTGACTTCAATATATGCTGAAGGATGATTGATATGCTCGCTATCCCGATTGACCAATCAGAGCCCGACTTGCCCGACTATTTACGACGTCTTGTTTATGACCAACCGTATCCACGATAGATATGGTGGAAGGGATGATAGGACCGGGAGAACTACGGCTATGCAGCCAGCATCTTTTTTACTATGACCGCATACACGCGTTATGCACCTTTTCCTTGTTTTTTGTCTCTTTGAACATCTGTCGCAATGACCTTTCCTTTTGCGCTTAGTTGATGGCCGCCAGAATGTGTATAAAAAGGCCGTACGATAGATAGATATCTAGAATCAGAGTTCTTCCTCTATTCACTTCGAATAATGCCTATGAAATCCTTCCGAACATAGTAGTTAGCAACTTATGTCTGGCCTTCAGTACGGCAATCTATAGCGGCCAAATTGCAATAACTAAAATTGATGATTGAGAGACCTCACCGCGAGCAGTTCAGAATGAAGCCATCGACCAAGCTTCTTAAATATGGAGTGGTGCAGTCAATTCACGTGCAGGAAAGAATGTAGGATTTACTGCATATGTAGATTGGCTATAAAAATCACGGCTCTATACAGCCATCTGCAGACGCCATTAGGACGTCAAATTCATTGAATCTGGAGACCTCTATGCTTACCTCTGGTTTCCCTGTCTTCTTCCCCCTTGTTTTGTCTCAATTGTTTACTTCTTTTCCCTTTTGCTTTTCCTTTAACACTCAAGAAGCTCAAGTTGCTACTTGACAGCTGAGAAAACCCAAGCAGCCCCGGCGCGGGGGGATACCTGTGTTTAGATAATAGATGATAGTTTAGCTAGGAGACAGGAAGTTCTGATCTGCCCGTCGTATGTCCCGCACCGGGACCAGGGCTTTTCCGGGGACAAACCTATATGTGATAAGGCCTGACCCTCGACGTAAAATAGAAACACACACACACAATGGGCCAGTGGCTCAGTGGTATGGACATTGAGCCTGGCTAGCCTGCCGGTGCGCACATCTAAAAGGAACTAGACTTGCTGTTTTCGCCCTGCAAAAACGGTCGTGAACAACCAACTTCTGAATCCCTCTTCACTATATTCCTGCGAATGGTGAGCTACGTTGAAAAAAACCCAGATAATCATAGATGCTCTAGACGAATGCACAACAAGGAAGGATTTGCTTCTGTGGATGGAAAACCTCACATGCTCTGGGCATCCAGGGCTTTACCTCCTTAGCACTAGTCGGAAAGAAGAAGATATTGAATCAGGAATAAAATGTTGGATGCATCACAGTGACTTAGTTTCCATGCAGCAAGGCCCTGTGAACCATGATATTTGTGCATATGTTCACAAGCGACTTTGACATGATTATGGTTTTCAGAGGTGGCACTCAAAGCCATCTGTGCTTGATGAAATCGAGACTGAACTCATGAAGAAAGCCGATGAAATGTAAGATGCGTTACCTCAAGGCCTCCAAAGAGCAAGCTGACAAGCGCTGACTATGTGCACAGGATCAGATGGGCTGCATGCCAACTTGATATTCTACAAAACTGTCTGGATCTTTGAATGCTCCAGAAGTCGCTTAAGTCTCTACCCAAGACATTGGAGGAGACGTACGCCCGAATTTTGGCCAGCATTGATGGAAATTACCGAGATTACGCAATAAGGCTTCTGCAGTTCATTACTTATTCGAAACGGCCGTTGACAATCCAAGAAGCTGTTGATGTTCTAGTAGTTTATTTGAGTGGAAAACTCCCCTTTGACTACAAATTAAGGATGCCAGAACCTCAAGAAATTACGAGGCTCTGTTCAAGCTTAGTATCTCTTGTAACAAGACAGATTGGTGGAGAGATGGTGATGGAGCTTCAATTGGCCCATTTTCTGTTCAGCAATATCTCCAGTTCAAAAAAATTGAAGCAACTTTCCGAGGGAAAAAAAAAAAAAAAAAAACTGAAGTTGGTTGGATGTTCCAAAATGGTCTCAATGAAAGCAGAGCAAATCCTTCAACGATTCCTTCTTGTATAATAAAGGGTAGCTTTAGGTTAAGACAACTTGAGTTCGACCCCTAACATCTAGAGCTGTTAGGGCTTTACATAGCACATAAATAAGCTCCGTCATCCTCTCAGCACTTATCATTTTACTCATTGATATCTTATTATTCTCCTTACATATACGCAAAGACGAAGAAGGTACTCCAACCCAATCTGCATACATCCTGGTTTAGAGACAACACTGACATACCAAGCACAATAATAGATATTATCCGACACCCTCTTAGCCTTCTTAGCCCTGTTCACGGATAACATCATCGCGGCTGTGATGGTCTAGGCGATGTCTTGAGGCACCATCAGTCTCATGAGTTAGAAATCCAGCAGCTCTGGTCTGGATGGTCTCAGTTAAAAATTCCCATCAAGGAAACGGGCGACTCAATTGGCATCATTCCCAGGAATCCCTCATGATTCTTTTTTCACCATCCAGTCATGACACCATTTCGTCACGGACCTTTTCAGTGTCGCAGACCCACATGTTAGCCTTAGGGATCTTCTTGGGTGGGCCCACCATTTCGAGTCGATTTGTCAGTATAGACCACCTGCTCCTGCTCCTGCTCCTGCTCCTGCCATTTCCTTAAAATTGCCAATTTTGGATTGCACAAACCCACTCCACACCCACTCCACAAATGTTCCACACCTGCAACGAGCCAAATGTCAGATGAAGGGCGTCGGCAAGATCGGGCCCGATGGCACGGAACAAAGTTTTCTAGGGGCTTGCCTTATGTCTCCCAATATAAATTGCTGGTGATCCTAGTGGCCAAGTTTAGATACGTCTCGGATTTCTAGACGACCAAGAAGATTTTATTGGGAAGTCTTACATTTTTGCTTCGTGTTGTGGGAGGGAGAGATGGCCGCGAGCCGACTCATGCTTCCCTGCGCCTCAGTATCCATACCATCCAGCGCCAGCCACGGTATCTGAGTTACTCAGGCGCCTACCGTCAGTGAATAGAAACATAGGGAGTGGAGGGCATGTGTCAGCCCATTATTGAAAGGTCACATCTGCCCTGTCTCGGTTAGGGCAAATGTTTTGGCTATTTCTAGGGTTCTCAGCCTGCCAAGGGGGGTATATCAGAGGGTCAGTCTGTTCTACCCCCTCTAGCCATGGCAGGTGATTGTGGGTTAGGCGCGTGTTTGCAGGAAAGGATCGCGTTCAGAATAGGCGCCTGCAAACAGGGTGGCGCTTGTCTAATCTGGAGGCGCGCAATCTGGCCGCAGTGTGTTTCTGGTCAAGGATGATTTCCATGGGGAGAATAGCGGTCTCCCGATGAAGAGCTGCAATAGGAGTGGTCCGATATACTGGAAGGGTTCCCCGAAGGGCTTCTCTGAGTACCCGGTCAAGGCAAGAAAGGGAGGAATCGACTCGATTTGATACAGAGCCTTGGTTCCTGGGCTTGGGCCTGTTTCGGCCCCGCCACCAGGCCTCAGCCCCATAGCAAAGGACTGAGATGACACAGGCAATTGTAGCCTACCGCAGTAGGTGTACAATAGTCCCTCTAACCGTATTAGCTAGTGATCTGACACCAGCGGCTATCTGTCTGGCCTTTGCAGCCAGGGTCCTGCAGTGTTTGCTAAAGCTCAACCTCCAGTCAAACCAGATGCCTAGCCAGCGCGTTGCACCGCCAGACGGGGGAGGTGTGACTTTGTGTGAGCCTTGAGAGGTGTGAATGGAGCATGTGAGGTTAGAATGGTTGGTCCCGCGTGTGAAGTGCTGCAATTCTGTTTTATTGAAGTCAAATGTAAGGCCTTCTCTAGCCCCCCATTGTCTGAGTTCCTCAGTGCAGTGCTGGAGTACCGTGCAGTTTTCCTCCAAGGAGGGGGAAGCAACTAGTTGGCATATATCATCAGCATATCCAAAGCGACCGCGTCGGGTGCGCAGAGAGCCTTGTTTGAAGATGGACTCAATGAATAACATAAAGAGGATTGCGGAGATTGCGGAGCCTTGTGGGAGACCTGCTGGAACCTGGAATGTCTGGCTCATGTGGTTCCCTAGGCGGAGGCTGGCTAAGAGACATAACTACACAGCCAGGTTCGCCCGTGGCCAAGCCTAAAGACGTATTCTAGAAAGTACTCACAGATAACCCTTTCTCATTCCAGACACGGTCTGAGCTCTCTATAGATGCATGACAACCAAGAAGCCCGCTTAGCATGTTTTGGGAGTTGGGCGTTATTGCTATAACCCATAGTTCCAGCTGAACAGCGCCGCAGTCCTTTCTACTAGTATGTATCCGGATTCAGAATACGTTGATTCAATAATCTGGAGTCAGGCCCTGGACTAGTCTCTAGTACTTGTCACAAATCCAGGGATTAAATACCCACAATGTGTGAACTGTGATCTATATGTCTTGGTGAGTGAAGAGAATCTGGTAAATGAAACTGAGGGTTGGATTTAAAGAGCTGCGTGTGACGGCTCAACGCCGCCTCATGTGGCTGATATCGATAAACACCGCCATATAAGCAAACAAAGAGCACTTGGCGCGGCCACAGAACCTATGGATAAAAACCCCTTTTTCCTGTAGATGGATTCCTTTCCTTCTTTTCTCTTCGGATTTGATGTTCTCATCGATGGCTACACTAGTTTAGATAGGAATATCAATTCGCTATTATCTACTGGTCCGAGCCCGTGACACTGTGAGCAGTGCGCCCACATCAATCCTGATAGAGCAGTTATCAAAATGCAAGATATTCCATAATGACCCTTATGTGTAACAATTTTCCGGAGTTATTGACCTGATGAAGGCATTTCATCTATTGCGGAATCTGGGTACATATTGAAGTAAGACTTTTCGCGATACTTTTTTTTTTTTTTTTTTTTTTTTTGCAAGATCTGACAGGGAATGGATTAGTGATACAGTACTTATACTTAACTTGACACAAGTGGAAAAGAAAAGAATAATGATTTATTACAGACTTACAATAAATAGTAAGTATCTAAATAGTATGAGACCACAGACAAAGCACGGTTGCAAGTAAGGATCATGATGCTACATTTGGCTGATGGGCAAGAACACTTTTATAACACTTTGTAAGTAGGGATCATCTACTGTTGTCATCCTAAGCAGTAAGCCTTTGTGACAATTGGTTCTATGCCCTTAGTATTTTCCGCATGGCCCTTGCTTGCTCCTGGGATTTTTCAGACTCCTAGGAGTCCTGGACTAGGGTAATCTCTGGAGTGAATTGAATCTTCCTGGGAGCTTAGTTTACTCCACTATCTCTGGGGAGAAGTTGGCATGGTAAGAAGCAGAGCAGAAGGAATGATGACCTGAATTCCCTGTTCCATTGATGGTACCATCGCTTCGTTGAGGGGGGTCAAAGGGGGAACGGTCAAAAGTGCTACAAAGAAAAGTGGACACAGGTGATACTCTAGCGCGGTGCGTTTTATTGAGGCTATCTTAGTCAGGCTACTCACCCCTCTGCTCAGGCTACTCAGGGCGTGCTCAGGGCACGCTCAGGTCTACGCAGTGAGCAAAAAGCGGCGAGGGGTGAGCACTAAAACGGAAAGAGAAAGCCTCCGAGCTGTCCAGAAAAACAAGTATGTATGTAGTAAATACAGCTCTGATGCATCTAGATATCCAAAACAAACAAGATGCCAATCATAAATCATAAAATAGGCCAAAGCCAAAGCCAAAGTCAAGCGAATGGGGTATCATTAACATATAGTAACACGATCATTAAACAGGTATATCATGGACATGGTCCGCCGTAGCAGTTCCCTCTGTTGTTTTATGTTCAGCCTCGTCCTCACGCCGGGGCTCAGGAGTAGGGCTCGAGCCATTAGGCATATAAGTACTCTCAGCGGGTTTTCCTGCATTCTCCTCAGACTCATCCGGCACTCCCAATCCAACACCCATCTTCCTCCCTCTGACTAGCGCCAACAAACACTGTCCCATTCCCTCTAGATCACCCATCAATCCCACGTGTCCGCGATCCGTCTTTACCATGCCATCCTTGATAACCCGGTATCCGGGCGGTAGCATCGCCGCACTAGCAAGACAGACACCATCACCAGCCGCGAACGCGAGGTCGTCATACGCGTCTTGACGCTTGATCTGTTCCTTCGACTCGACTCTCGCCCCGTAAACAGTGGGAACGGATTTCCCGAAAATCACAGAGAATGGCGGATATCTATTCTCCGCCTGATGGGATTCCTGGAAAACAAGGTCGTCTTTGAAACGGCGGACATCTGCCAATGTGCGCTCGAGGTAACTCATCGCCAGCCCGCGCGGGATGTTCGTTGTCGAAGCGATTTTGGGCTGCGTGGCACCGCGGGGGTGTGCGGTGGGACCGACCAGCCCGGCCAGGGCGGGTTTCATGGCGGAGGCTTTGCTTTGGTGTTCGTGTGGGGGGTTTGCGGCGGCGTAGCGGGATGGGTGGTGGTGGTGGATGCTTGGGGTGAGGTCTGGTTGGCCGGTTTCGTAGGTTTGGGATTGGGATTGGGGTTGTTGCTGGGACTCGGCTTGGGGCTGAGGTTGCTGGGGTTGGGATGGTTGCTGCTGGAGCATGTCTGTTGAGGATGACATGTCTGATTGATATTCCTGCGCGGAGTCCGATTCCTCTGGGAAGCTGCCGTTACGCATGCTGAGTCGCTTTGCCAGTATCGGCAGGTTATCCATCAAGTTCCTGCCCGTAGGCGGAAGAGCGAAATTGACACATGGCGACAGACGATACTCATCCCAAGCCTGGGGCGAGAAAAAGTCCACAGGATATTCCTCCTTAGTTTGTTTATTAAAAAAGCAATGCCCATCCTCAGGAAGCAGCGCAAAGCTAGTCCGGAAACTAAAGTTGACCTGTGCCGTAAGCACGCGCGAACTCAACAAGACTTCATCGCCGTTGCGCAACGGGCCAAGAATGTTGACGCAGTGTTGCGGAGCGCCCGCATAGACAACCCCCGCAAATAGCTCGGGCCGCTGGTTCACGGCATGCCGGGCGATTAGGCCCCCAAGACTGTGCGCTATGACGTAGGCCCCGCGCTTTTCCCGCGGGACGTCTGGTGCATTGCACGGAAGGCCTTCGAGATGCTTGATCAGTCTTTGCGAGAGTAGATGCGGACTTAGACGCCAGTCGTATCCAAAGTCCTGGACTCGAAGGTCGCCGTTGAGGGCGTTGTCGCACTTTTGCAGTCGCTTCATCAACCGGCGGCAGATGTCTACCGGGCCAACATGAGAGAGAATACCGGAGGGTATAACACGCTCCTCCATCTTCTCTTCATCCTCTGGGTTGAACCCAACCTCGAGGTCCACCTTGCGCAGATTCAGTCCGACCTTCATCGGTACCCATAACTGGCGATGCGGCGGTTTGGCAGACCGCAGAATCGAACCTCGGTAGCCGCCCATGACGACAACGTCGCCAGTCAATTCCTCCATGGCCTCGGTTAGCGCGGGGTACGTATTAAACTGAGTATTGGCACGTTGCTGGCGAGCGTGTTCCTCTTGCACAGATAGAGACGAATCGACCTCCGCAGAATACTCCTGACCCTTGCGTTGGGAAACATCTTGGAAAAATGGCTTATACCCCCAGTCAGCCCGGATATCATGCAGGTTGAACGACGGTATGCTGAGCAGCCGGCTACTCGAGTCCTGCAGACTATCCTTGATAGCCTTGAACCGACTGTTGACCTGCGAGTGTATATGCTCAAACTGCGGACGATGATCGAGAGACGAGACCGTCGACGAAGCTCGCAAATACAACGAGTGATCTGAGGAAGTCCTCCTCAGCAGCGGCGGCGCCCCAGGTCCACCCGCACTAGGCCGGCGAGTAAACGAATGCTTCGCAGCCGTCGAATTCCTAAGTGACTGCAACTCGGAGATCGGTTCATCGCCTGCACTATCCACACCTCCGTTCATGTTAGACTCAGACTTCCTCCTCTGCGACAAGATTGCCTCTGGTGGTGGTAGATCCGTTATCCGCTGCTCAGGGGCCAGACTGGCCGACGGAGGCGGTTTGGCCATTATCTGACTGCGAGGACGAGTATTCTGCGCGGACGAATTGGAGCGAAACGAAAGCGACGACCGACGAGTCAACGAACCCAGGTCCGGAAAGAACTTTTTAAGATTCAAATTCGCAATGGTATCGCCCGACAGCGCCCGGGGACGTTTGGGTAGATTACCCAGAATCGACCGAGTAAAGCTTGTCCGCGAACCGCCATTATCCTTGGGTAACCGTGTATCATCCGAATATGTCACCTCTTTCCCTTGACTCTGTACCGCGTGTACCGGTTCAGAATCCTGTTTCCGATGTCTCGATTGCTGCTGCTGTAGCTGCGGACTCCGATCCGGAACAGTCGTCGACGCCCTACTCGGCATCTTCTCCTTTACCGGCTCCGGCTCAGCAGTAATATCCGACAAATACAGCCCATCCGAATGAACCAAATCCGGCACCGCGAAATACCCCCCATCCCGCTCCATAATCCGGTTCTTTTCTTCCGCGGGCGTACTCCATGCCTTCATCCGAGTCTGAGCACGACTCATACTGACACCGACCACGTCACCGGCTTCATCTTCGGCGGCCTGGGGGGCAGGCTCATCGCTATCGGAGCTGGTAGCTGCTGCGGTGGTGTTCGCGGATGTATTTGCTTTTGCGGCCGCGGCTGCGGGGGAAAGCGAGGAACGGGGACGGGGAGTTTTGACGCCATTGACAGGGAGATGCTTGTTGTGATTGCGGAGGGGATCCCGGTCGTCTGCTGCAGGGACTGGCATGGTGGAAGGGGAGGAAGGAAGGAGTGACGAGCTGCTATGCGAGCGGTATATATACAGTTGTCACCGCATGTAGTTGGAATTCAAAGAAGGACGGCCGGGACAGGATTGAAAGGAATATAAATATGTATAATGAAAATGGCTAACTGGAGAATGATAGTTAGCATGAGGGAGAGGAGTAAGAATAAGAAAAAGAAAAAGAATAAGAATAAGAATAAGAATACGAATACGTAGGAGTATCCGGAGTTGGGAGAGAAGAAGAATGCATTGGGAAGGCGATGATGTTGACACCCAAACTTGAGGCTGAACGACTTACCTGTACAGACCGCTTTTCTTTTTTTATTGGTAGAGAATAAGAATAAGAATAGTCTCTATTCAACTATCCTCTTCATAATAAATATGGATATTATATCAGACTGACCGAGGCTGCGGCGAAAGTAAAAAAAAAAAAAAAAAAAAAAAAAAAAAAAAGTTTGGGTCCACTGCACAGCCTCCGGAGTCGTCGGAAGGAGGGAAATTGAACATATTCAAGCATAAATTGGCATAGCAAGAGTGTTAACATCACGAGTCATTGCATTACTATTCTGTGTAGTAGAACAGTAATGAATTGTAGACGAAGGAAGCTTTCTGGCCAATGATGAAGTCATCGAACGGGTGTTCATCACTTCATACCCCGGATAATGCTAAGACTACTCAAAATGTAGGTTAAATACAGTGATGCTTGATTTAGATATATATAGAATGGATTAATTCAATATAATTCAATAAAATACAAATAATTACTGGTATCCTCCGTAGCAATCATAACTCATCAATAAAATATAATCACATGTAAATCACCGCGACAGTCCAGACCTCATCTCATCTTCACCCTTCCGGGCAATGCCCTGGTTCTTCTCAACACCCTCCGGACTGCCGAATGTCCGATCAACCGCAGCGTTCAACGCACCACGCAGACTCTCTCCGGCGCCCTGCATCTGTTAGCAATGCACTCTGTACCCCATACATATAACCGGACAATAACTCACATGAACACCCGAATATGCATTCTGAATCCCCTTCCCGAAATCGTCCCCCACACGTCCCGCCTTGCTGTCTTCCGTTCCAGCAGACTTATTCGCCGTGCTGGATGCATACTCGGCCCGATAGTCCTGTGAGCTCGGGTTGTAGCTATCCCCGGAATGACTGGGTTGGTACCCCGCGCCACTAGTCGAATACCCAGACCCGGTAGCAGGGTTATACCCCGTCGTGTTAGGGTCATAATGCGAGCGCGTATCCCTCACTCCAGGGGCACCACCGGCACCTCCCGTCGAGGAACCACCACCCGCGATACTCCCCGCTGCAGCATCAGGCGTGGTATCCGCATACGTAGCCGTCCGTCCAGCACCGGAGCCAGTCATATTCGTGGACTTGGTCGTTGTATTCCCCGTTTGGCTGTCAACGCGGGGATCAAGCTTGTTCAAGATCGACGATCGATGCGGTCCGCTGTTCCTGGTGTTCTCCGGGTTGGACACCCCCTGGTTTGTGCCTGGGTGGACGGTTCCCGAGGTTGTTGTTCCCGGTGCGTATTGTGCGCGGTTGTTCAGGTCGCTGTCGACGCGGGGGTCTGCTGCGTTGCCCGTGTCGGTGCGGTGCGGGCCTGCGGCTGAAGGTGCTGGACCGGTGCGTGGATCTGTGGTGTTGGCTGCGGTGCCGGTGCCAGTCTCGCCAATGTAGGTTCCGGTTGGTGTGGTTGAGTTGAGATCTTGGTTGGGGTTTCCAAAGGAAGAGGTGTAGTAGGGAGGTTGTGTGCTAGCCATTTTGTATTGTAGTCTCAGTTGGTTTGTCTCACTCGAACTTAGTTGTTTAAATTCGCCTTCTACCAGTCTAAATATACCCAGTTAAAATGAAGTGAGGAACCTCGACATCATCGCTTTGCTGGTGACGTCATTCTGAGCACAATCAAGGGACGCGCAGCCAGAACATCATGTTGAGTACATTTATAGAAACAGATCTGCTGTATGCAAATCATATTCTTGCTTTTAAACATTGCCAAGTTTTACCCCCACGGTACGGGAAATAGATTAATGGGAACTTGCTCTCTTTTCTGGGTGTATTCTATCGAGTGACGTCATTGCACTCATGTTTGTGCAGATTATTAATTTATACGGCTAGTTAACTAGTTAGTTAGCATAGTTATGCAGACGATACAGACAATGACCATAGAGAGTGATGGTAGTTGTTTATCGGTATAGCAGCCCGTGATGCCACGGCTTTGCGACATTCCCCTCGAACTCCTATATTCTATATTGTTCCTACTAGACCCATTTGTTCATGGTAAATCCCGATGACTGGAACCTCGCCCGTGACCTTTTTGAACATGCAGATTCAGACAATGAATTCTCTGGATTCGACAATCTCCACCGTTTTTCCATCGAGACTGAAGATATCGAAACCGGTATTGCGGCTTGCAGCGAGTATGGCAGCGTCTTCAGCATGGCGAAGGAGGTCCAAATCGTGCACATAAACGACATAGACATGAGCCCATCCAAGATGCAACCTCATTCATCACCAATCGAGCATCTCTATATCCTCGAAGGTGAAATGGGACCAGAGGCAATGCGGGTGTTTATCCAGAGTTGCAGAACCCTCCGCGCATTCAACTACACCTATGGAAAGATCGATATCTTCGAGGAGCATTTCAGGCCATTAGAGGCTGTTCAGCTGCTTCTTGGGTGTTGTGACGGCTCAACGACCAGACAAACATTGCCAACATGCCAAAAGATGCCATACAAGCAATATGGACAAACAAGGGCTCAAGCCGCATCGCACAAAGGCTTATATAGAGACTGCACTCGCCAGATAGATTTCCTCTCCTTTTTCCTTCCCAGATTCGATATTCTCGTTGATGGCTACAATAGTCAAGATAGGAATTCAGTTCGTTATTATCTTCTATTCCGAGCCCGTGACAGGTGTCATCGGAAAACACTTGAGGAGCTGACGATGTTGTATGGTGATGACTGCCAACTATGGTATGATTTTTCGGCCAGTGAATGGTATATGGGTACGGAACTGCGGGGTTTTATGAAATTGACGACCCTGAGGAGTGGCATGCATAGTTTACTGGGTTTACTTCAACCGCATTCGGTAGTAATGGAACAGTACAGAACAAAATCCGGTGTGGAAACTCCAGATCTAGTGAATGTGCTGCCGGGAGTCATTGGAGCGGTTGACAATTCTGTATGCAGATGAAAGGATTGTTCCTCATTTGCAGAGTGTCACGGAAGTTCGCGTACAGCAGTTTCCAAATTTGAAGAAGGTTGGCATTGGATTCTGTCAAGAGGCAATGGAGAGAAACGTGGAATTACAGATGGAGGGAGTGGAGTTGACCATGCTGTATCAGTCCAAGCCAGAGCGAGCTGCCTATGTCTACGATAGAGAGGGTTTTTCATGGCTAGGGTCACCGGTTTTCAGACCTTGAATCTTATCTTAATAAATGTAGTTACAAATACGGTCATTTGATGAGGTAGGATGGTGTGGGGAGTTTCAAGATATATCCAGGTGGGGTGGGTATGGATATGGTTATTGAAATAGTTATGAAAAAGAACGGTGTCTCTAGATTCCGGTATGTATAGATACATATCATTTTTACTGTGCAATAGTAGTATACACAATCACGGCTAACCCTGATAATACAACCAACCCACCGTTCCCATCGCCCCCACAACCCCCATCCCCAACCACCTCGCAATCGTCCACCAAGCCTCCCTCTGCGCAATCTCAATATGCTCCTGAAACTCCGCCGTCGGATACGCCCTCGGCCACGGCTCATCCGGCACCTCCTCCCCCAAAAACCCACACAACTCCTCCCACCCATCCTTCCCAATCTCAAACTCCAACAACTGCTCCCTCGGAATCGCACTCCGAATCTTCTCATAATGCTCCAAATACTTCTCCTTCGTGACCTCCTCGCGAAAATCCCCGTTACAGAAAGTCCTCCACACAAGGTCTGACGTCTGATACAACGGCCCGATACACGTTGAATCGACGTACTGCCAGAACCTGAAAAACGGCATCTGCACGAACTTAAACACAGTCCTATTGGCCGATTTCACCCACGAGTCCACGTCGCGCTTTGTCAGGATGATTTTCGCATCTGGGTATGCACGGTGTAGATCCGCCCAGAACAGGCATGCTGGGACATCCAGACAGGCGTCGTAGGGCCCGAGGAGGCGGTCGAATTCTTCGCGGCCGTAGGGCTTTTTGTCGCCGGGGTTGAAGAAGTTGCATTGTAGGGCTTCGATCCAGAGGTTGAAGTCGCGGGGTGGGGTTTTGAAGCATTCCGAGCCGTGGTAGGGGTTTAGGCCGAGTTTGCGGAGGGCGATGGTCATTGCTGATATCGTTAGCATTCTCGTATACTAATCAAAGTAACAGGAGCTGTACAACTCGTCCCCGTCCGTGCCATCCCCATACACAACACCCGCATGGGCTTCACCCGCGTATTCGGCTCACTATCAATTAACCGACTCATATCGAAATACTCCGCAAAAAAGGATATCAAGTGAAAATTAAAAAATCCAGTTGGCAAACAGGATCCGCAGCTCCTTTAAATACCTGCGAAAATCCGGCCCGCTCCATAACTGAGTTCCTGAATTAGCTTTTAGCGTGGGATATTACTGTAAAACCCCGTTATCAGCAACTGGCCACGCTGTCCAAATTACAACTCCATATAAAATTGCTTAATACTCCATTACTAGCAAGTTGCTTAAATTCTCCCCTCCTCCCATATAAAATTGCTAATATAGGAGTAACCAAAATAGGCTATTTTGACTTCATCCCTCCCTTCCGCAATGCCAAAGCAAACCCGTCAACCTATTTTAAACAGCCAAAAGGCTGCCCTCTCGAGCCCAGCATCAACTTAAGCTGCATTTATCAAACATCGCACTGAAAATCTGGTTTGAAACCACCTATAATCAGTCAATCAACCCATCCTCTGTATCCCGAATCATTTCATCCGATTCCGCCTCCTTTGATGAAGCCACTAACCGCCACCAAGAGAAGCGACGACGTACTGAGAGCTGGCCAGAATTATGGACTCAACGTGCAGAGGAGTATATATCAATATCTCAGGAGGTTATATGGGAGAAAGCAAGGCAATATTGGCAAACTATCTATCCAGGAAGGGAGATGCCTTCTGTCAGCAATGGCTGGCTCCGTGACTTTCAATCATGCTGGAGTATTCGACAGAATATACAGCATGGTGAAAGTGGTAGTCTCTCCTAAGATGCTGGTGCTGAGATGGCTAGAATCTGTCAAGTTTTAAGCACTTATGCACCTCAAGATATCTATAATTGCGATGAGACAAGCCTATATCGGAGGAAGATCCCCGACCGGAGTTTATCAACACGCCCACTTCCTGGACGAAAGAAAGATAAAGCAAGAATTAGCATCCTATTCTGCTGCAATCCAGACGCCTCAGAGCGCATTCCTATCTGGTTTATTGGAACTGCAAGAAGGCCAAAGGCTTTTGTGACTGCTGGAATCAATGTTGAAAATCTTGGATGTGTTTGGCGGAGTAATAAAAAGGCCTAGATGACTGGAGAGATCCTTAAAGAATGGCTTATATGGTTTGACAAGAAGATGACTGGGAGAAAGGTTGTTCTTCTTTTGGATAACTTCTCTGCGCATGAGGCTGCATTCAGAGATATAGGGCCACAGCTACAGAATACTCTAGTCATCTAGCTTCCTTGCAACTCAACCACACGATATCAACCTCTAGACCAGGGAATTATCCGGACTTGGAAAGCATACTGGCGCCGGCAATGGGTTCTTTTCATGATGGATCAATTTGATAAAGGATATGATCCTTTGTCAACTATGACAATCCTTCAGGCTGTCCGATGGGCTATTCCAGCATAGAATCTGGATTTGGCAGGGAATACCATTCGGATCTGCTTTAAAAAGGCTTTTTCCTCTGAGGATATGAGAGAAATATGCTGTCAGGCAGTTATCAATGAGATTACTTGTGGAATTCAGCAACTGCAGGTGTCGAATAACATCCAGGATGCCATGGATATACACCAGTTCCTAAATCCAGAAGAAGAGCAGGTTGACGACAGGTGGATGGAAATAAGGCCTTAATCCAGCAACTTCTCTTCCATGAGAGGACTCTTGAGAGAAAGAAGGTTAGCAGACAGTAGCAGAGTGATATACGAGACTTCTTTTGTAATTAGATGGTGCCTATATATATATATTTATAGCAGCAAGCTCATATAATCCGATATAAGCAATACTCCGTTATAAGCAATTTCCGCGACCTGCCGAAATAGTTGCTTATAACGGGGTTTTACAGTAGCCAAGAAGATGTCTTCGGATGTGTCGGATTGTCTGACCTGCTCTGGTTTGCCAAGACCCGGGGGCGTGGTTTGATCGTGGCTGACCGTGGTTTATATACATCATAGAATATTTGTAGTTGGTACGAGTACTTCTCAGGAGACAATTACCATTAACTAGTCCACTCATTTGGGAGTTTGAGAAGGCAACTCAGTACACATCAAATCTGCATGCAGCTATGCAGCTACGAAACGAAGATACCCCACACTAAGAATAGGGCTCAGTTATTACAGGACAACGGGCAATAAAAGATGTATCAGGTAGTTGCTTATTCCATTGACAAAGCTAGCTCAGTGAAGCAACCGAAAGCAAAGACCCAACGACGCAACTCCAAGTAACTGAAAAGCTCATATGTAATGGCAAGAAACCCAGCATGGCGTATCCGAAAATCACCATATCCATATTCCAGACGTTGAAGACCGTATCTCATCAAGCCGTACTCGTATCGAGTCGATGTTCACTTGCCGGTGTTCGACTGCTGGCCGTTGTTGGACTGGGAGTTAGACGAAGCGTTCGCGTTGCGGTCTCCAGCGGACTGGGCTCTCGCGGCAAAGGAACTAGCGCCAGTGTTGTGTCCGGCCTGGGCCTGTTAAAGCAAGAGATTATCAGAACATAGTCCTGGATATATCTAGATAAGAAGGGGGAGGGGAAGACTTACCTGGGAGTGCTGGATGCGAGACGCATCGCCTTTGGTCATCTGGTTAGGCATCTTGGATGTAGATGGTTGGTGGTTGTTGGAAAGTGGAAGTAGTCGGTTGAGAAGTTGGTTGATGAAGCTGTGTTGGAAGCGTAGAGAGAGGATGATGAGAGTATGAAGAGGAGAGGAAGAACGGTGGGAGAGAAGGTGGTATTTAAGTTCTTTGACAGCCCATCAGGTGATGTTTGTTTGACCTTATTTGTATATAATGCTTTCCATGGGCTTCCATTATTCACTTTCTATCATTCACCACAACCTAAAGCAATGGAAGCTTTGTCATTCATCAGCATAGAAAGAAACCAAGATGTCATCCGAGTAATAATATTCAATCTGGGGTTGCCATCGAGGTACAAATTGCACTACCAAGCCTTATAGTGAGTTGAAATAGAAACCAAGACAATAGCAGACCAACGACTCCAATATAGCGTCATGTATCAAATTTGGACTGCTAACCGTTGATTAGAAGTCAGCGAACCAGGTATAAAGCATGTCGGCAAATGCAAAACAAAAAACATCGATTTTCAAGTAAAAGAGCCGGTCTTTGGGCCCAGGAAAATTCCTGTTTTCCGAAAGTTCGCCATCAATACTTCCCAACTCATTCCCATGTTCTCTTGGTGATCAAAATGTCTCCCTTTATGCTTAGTCTGGACCTTTCCTTGCCAGAAGAACGACCGATTGATCTTGTCCTAAGATCAACGCCAAAGGAAATCACAAAGTCGCTGAGCCACGGCGCATGGTCTTCTGCCATGTATACACGACGCGAGCCTGCCGGTACATCAATAGGGATACCAGATTCAACCAGAATAGAGATTATAGTCGGATTTTTTTACGAAATAGCTGCGTCCATTGCTTCCCTGAAGATTTTCCACTGAGTAGATGCTGGAATGTGGGAATTTATGACTTCTTGGAGTGAAGCATCGAAGCAAATGCACTTGGCACCCACTAGCAGCATGCAAAAAGGCATTTGCACAGCTGGCGCCATAACCGAGCAGTATTTGAACTACTTCTTGATGACCATTCAGAGGGGCAAGGCCCACAGGGGTTCCATGGCGGGTGCAAACGTTCATATCTGCTCTGTACTCTAGAAGAAGACTGACTATTCTGGCGTGTCCCTTAGCAGCGGCGATAGCAAGGAGAAAACTACAACGCCTTTCTTGATAGAACACATTCACATCAGCGCCCTCTATCAGCAGCATTCGTACTAGCGCTTCTCGGTTATGACCGACGGCTTCGTAGAGCATGCTCTGCTGCAATCCCTCTGGCAGCTCTTGTGACGGCCTGGTCATGTTGGCTGGCTGTCACGTGAGTTGCAGTTGTTTGCTTTATTGATAACTACAGCGTTACCTCCTTTCTTCCTTCCTCATGTCAATTATTCTCGTCGATAGCTACCTAGGTAGAACACATGAGTTGATGTTTCATTAACCTGGCTGAGCTCCGTGACAGCTCTGAGGTAGATCTATTAGCACTTCGAAGAAGTTCAAGAGTATCTAAATGACCCCCTTAATTTAAATAAAATCCCACCATGTCGGATATCGAAACGATTACCACCCTCATCAAGCAAGGCCAGATTGCCCCAGTAGAACAACTCCTCTGCACCCCTCCAATCACATACCCCGATATTTTGAAGCTACTTCGGGCATCTATCAAAGCTATGAATATCGATATTCTGCAACATATCCTCGACACCTTCAAGCCAGAAACCGAAAGACATATTTAACGGAATGAAGTTGTGATGCAATCATTGCACCCCGGCCGAGCCGAAGCATTCAAGTTTCTGTATGAATACAACCCACCGATAATAACAAGGCACCTAGATCATATTGGAGATGCTCTTGGTTATGCAGTTCTGGGTGATAACATCCCATTGGCATCCTTTATTCTCAGTCAGGCTGGCACTGACCCAAATAAAAGCCTGCTGCTTTATAAACCTCCAATTGGATCTGCTGCGTATTTTGGGAATTACGAAATGCTAGAATTACTCTTGAAGCATGGTGCCCGGATCAATGGCACATATACAGTTTATCAGGCTATGGAGAGTGGCAGTGTGGACATGCTTTCCTTCTTGATGAGCAAAAAGGATGTGGATATTAACATGGTCCAGCCAGTTGAGAAGAATGAGGAGCTTGTTCCTGGGCCAGTGCTACATCTTGTGGTTCAAGCGAGAAATAAGAAAATTATACGCGTCTTGGTCAAGAAGTTTGGAGCTGACCCGTTGGTTAAGGATCAATGTGGGAAAACAGCTGTGGATTGGGCAAGGTATATGAGTGATCGTAATATCTGTAGACAGTTTGATCCGACATATAGATTATTATTTAATCAAGTTTATAGTCCAATCCAACATATAGACAATGCCAGATTGTCTAATCAGCTAGCACTCCACGGGACTTTTTATTTCGAGTTATAATGTATACTATTAAGGCTGTGCGGGAAAATACTAGGAGATCACAGCCTCCGAGCCTTGTGCTTCTATTTCTATCTTGATATCAAACGCCTCATTTCACACTTACTCCCGCGCCTGGACCTAGTCGCTCTGCATATTTATGACGGTATTAGACAGTAAAACCTCTCTACCCCATTAATATCGCACTTGCAAGCAATTCAATCATGTCCGCCGTTCTCCTCTTTTGCACTGCCCAGGTGCCAGCGCAAGTACGTTCACCACCCAATATCAAATTCCAACATACATGAATCCCCTGACCTAACCTCTCCCTCAGCTTATCAACAAACTCATGGAAGACTGCACCCTCCCGGATCCCGACTTCGCAGTGAACTTCTTTAGCCTAGTCCGCATCCCCGACCAACCCGACGTCGACGACTGGGCGACCGACCCCCCAGTCAACAATTTCACAACCGGTTTCCTGGGCAAGAAAGACACTGAATTGCGCCGGTTTCCCACAGAGCGCATTCCACAGATGGAACATGGACAGACTGTTGACAAGAGCTGGATTGCCGTTTTAGATGAGCAGTCTATGAGCACGGAGACGGCTGTTCTGCATAACTCGTATGCGAGGAATCTTTGGGATAAAGTTCGTCCGGGGGCGCACGTTCCTGCTGGTGGAGAGGTCTTTGGGGATGGCCGGATTTGGTGGAAATGGCACGTTCCGTTTAAACACTCGTGGACGTTTTATAATAGCTTTGAAAGTGATCCTACCGCTATGACGTTGAACCTGTATGCGAGGCCGGAGCTGCATAAGGATGAAGTGGTGGATATGGATACCGTACAGAAGATCATGGATGGTGAAATGACAATAGAGGACCTTAATTAAGCCCGGGATGTCAAGTATTAATATCACTCTGTTCCTGTATGCTATACAAAGATTTCCACCCTAGTCAAGTCCTTTAGCAAAGTCAAGTGCATATATGTACAGATTTTTATTACCTATAGATGTAAATGTCAGATTAATAAGGAACCTCTCAGTACCCTTATCCAGCTAATTCATGACTACGAAGATCATCCCCCCATAGCTCAGCTCGCACCTTACTCTGAGCTCCCAACTCCCCCCGCACTTCTGTCGCCGGCAATTCTCTTGGAATACCATCGTTTCTCGATGCTGCAGCTGCAGCATAATAGCCAGGCTACGGTTCCTCCTTCGCGGTCTGCTGTTGATATGCAGCCGCCTGGCTCTGCTTCCGGCGCCGGAATAGGAAGAGGGAAATCAGTGCCACTATGGCAGCGACACCGGCTACACCGCCGACAACACCGCCAGCTATGGCGCCTTTGTTTGTTGAGTTTGATGCGCTGGGAGAGGGAGTTGGTGTTGATGCGGTTGAAGTGTTGGAGACGAATAGGGATTTCAAGGCCGGGTCAGCCCATGTGGATGGGTAGGGGGATTCTTTTATGTCGTTGGATGTTGAGAATGGGATGGAGTATGATGATAACGAAGGCTGTTGACTGAAAGTGTGAGTGAAACACACATCGAATTCCGTCCGGTCCACTTCGGACAGTGCATCATATAGGAATACAGGTTCACTGTAGCAGCCAGCACTTGAATTGATCGCCCAGGCTAAGCGGCCTCCAATTCCCAGAATTTGCCGGCCGTATGGTTGGCAAACATAGTGTCATGCGACCCTCAGTTAGCGAGCCAGCGCGGTACCATTTGAAGGATGGAATAGAAAGGTAGAACTTGGTGGTTGTAAGTTTGGAGAGGAAATTAATTAGGGGCTTGGTGACAGACACATCGGTTAGCACACCCTGGGATTCAAATCAGCCCCTCCAATAACATAGATTTGATATGACGAGGAGGATTCATCGTGCACAACGGCAGCGCAGAATTGGGTTCTAGATGCCACGGTGCCGGTGGTTGATCGATTGTACCATTTGTCTTGGGCAATGTCGTAAACCTGAATGTGGTCCTATGGGTTCTAGTCCAATGTCAGCAGCAGTTCTGATATGGCAGAAAAGAAAAGACTAACCGAACCCAAAGTAGCGTTGGCTCCTTTAGCAATAGAAGGAACTTCACCACCCATATAGACCAGGATTCCTTGATTTCCGAAAGGAAGGTACACCAATGCCCCCTGCTAAACAGCTGTATACGGGGAATCAAGCAACGTAAATTGCCCTGTCGTGGTGTTCAATTGGTACATCTTGTTCGAATAACTCTTGGTATCGTCGTCGTAAAGAGGGGATGTATCACTACTCTGGTAACCGCCTAACCAGTATGCCGCTTGAATATCTGGCGCATCGATGTACGCTGTTGGATTTCTTTTGATTAGCCTCGATGTTCTTCTGAAGAGAAGGAGGATAAGTGGCTACCTCCGTCTGTAAGCCGTGGCGGGTCAACATCACTCTCCCCTACCCCCTAAGACTTGCTCGTAATATCATAAGTCCCTATACCACCGTCAACTGATGTCGTTCCAAGTCCTGCGCCTCCATAAGCGTACAGTATAGTGTTGTCCTGGTCCGACCACAGTGCTTGGCCTTTGAGGTTCGGAAAAGAGCTATTAATCAGGCTCATCTTGTAGTTTGCGCCATCGTTGAGAGAGACTCGGGAGCCGAGGTCGAGGGTGACGAGATAATTGTCCGTATCGAAGGAATAATGAGTATTCGGAATTTAGAGCCAAGGGTATTTATGCGCACGCGAAGCATTTTGGTCGGCCTCAACAAGACCGTCGAGGTCAATCATGTACAAAACACCATCGACGATGTTCGATGGATTAACGTCAGACAATTGTTCCTGAGCTGGGTTCTGTCTCTCTAGATCTTCACACCTGCAAATTTGTAACTCCGACAGAACCCGGCATCCTCCAAACTCATAAGTACTTTTTCGTTTCGAGATTTCTCCCGCCTGCGCGCGCAAAAGACACAGGCTGAGAATCCCGATCAATTGCAGTAACAGGACGTTTTTCATATTGATTAACAGTACATCAATGGGCGTCCCAATGGTTGGAGAGCCGGTTCTTGCAGAGAAAAAAAGGAAAGAGGAAAGAGGCAGACAGAGAGATCGAGGAGACTCGACTACGTACTAGCAGGGAACGCGAACTTGGAGTTTGATTATGGATCAATTGCCCTACCAGCCTGTCAGGACTACCGAACGTGCCAGGATCCCTTCAGGCATAATCGCCAATTTCCCCGACAGACAGAATAATGTCAGATCTCCCACTCCGGGATATATAATAAGGGAAATGCAATAATGTGCCAGGACGAAAGCTCTGCTCCCTATTATGAGCATCCCGAAAAGGCAGCACCTGCGCCGCATTTCTTCTGCCGCTGATCGTGATCGAATCGGGAGACTAGTGCGCGCGGAAATGTGCCAAAAGACGCCGGGCCTCCACGCCGGCGCTACGAATCGCAAAGGGTCTCGAAGGTTAATACCTTTTGTCTTTAGTGCCTGAAGATTGAGCGTTGGTCACTGGTCGTTACAAATCTCGGCATACCTGAGTTAGCGCGTGATAGCCAGAGCGTGTCCCATCGATTCTAGTCGCATAGTTCTTTGTTTATCCCCCACAATAACGGTGTCTCTGCAGGTGCAGAAAATAATACGAAGTGTTGGTGATAAAAGCCCACCAAAGTGCTGACTGATCACTGTAGGGTTGGTTTCCCGATATGGCTAGTTCGACATCCGGCTTCAAAGCAGCCAACAACCATCCGGTAACCATCAAACTTGCTGTAAACCTACCCTGAGCCATAAAGTCTGTCGCTGGAGTTACCTGAGTTCCGGTATATCACTTTGTCATGACAAAAGGCACCGCCTATCCCAGTCTTAGCTCCGTTACTACTCCGTACTTCCACGACTATCATGGACACACAGCCACGACTAACAGACGGTCCTTTCTCCGGACTACCTCAAGACTGCTGGACGATTATCGAAAGGCACCTCTCACCCAAAGATCTCATCTCTGTATCAACAACATGTCGGAGTTTACGAGCTTTTACGGAGCACCTCGTTTATCGGGACATCTCCTGGTCGTGGGATCCCACCGAGCTCCCTTTGAGGCACCTACTGCAACTTCTCCGGACTTTCATGGAGCGACCAGATTTGGCCTCTTAGATTGCGCATGTTAGTTTGCTTTCCTCAGCCGATCCATGGTCCCTCTCGGAAAGATGCGATATGGATTGGCGTCGAGAGTCGAGCTCCAGAAATTTTGCACCTGTTGTGGAAGAATCAATTGAGTTTGTAAATAAGCGCCATCTGGCCGGATACCCTGCGCGAAGTTGGCCTAAGAGACGATATGATAGCAACTCACGAGAATCGCTGGAATGAATCGAGGATTATCGATTGGGTGCACGATATGCTTTTGAACTAGCGAAACGCGGTTCCGCAACTGGAACGTATTGTTATTCGAGTTTGGGAGCAAATGTTATGACAATCTCTGGGAAGAGGACGAAAATCGATTACGAGAAAGGTGCAGGGAAGAAGGAATTCCGCTGGATATTGTGGCCGATGATCTTGGCCGGGTACTGTGGTGCAGACAGTTGTATAATGAGTTTTGATACATGTCTATGGAATTGACTAAAACCAAGCATCTGGATTCCGAAAGGCGACGACACCCTGGCCCCCTCCTTCTTTCTCTATTCATTCAGATACCCAGAATGCATCATTACGCTTTTTTCTTATCAATTTCTTGCTTCCCCTATCTAGATTCATGTCTCCACCTTTCGTATTATCAGAAAATGCACATAGCTGCTGAATATCTACCCTAAACCGACCCAGCAGCCAACACATACCCCCCATCAACAACAACCGTCTGTCCATTGAGATACTGGTTCGTCGCCGCAAACAACACCGCACTCCCCATATCCTCATCCTTCCCCGGCCGTCTCGCAGGAGTCTTCTTCTCATACTTTTCCTTCGGAATATAACTCTTCTGCATCTCATCACTCTCCCCGGTGGTCATTTCACTCGGAAACACACCAGGCGCGATATTATTGATTCTTATTGGTAGTCTTGATTCCGGTGAGCCGCTAATTTCGTTTGCAAGCATTTTGGTTAGATGAATCGCGGCTGCTTTGGATGCGTTATATGCGAAATGGTGCTGTGCTGTCTTGACGATCCCGGAGATGGAGGAGATGTTAATGACTGTGCTGGACCAGCCGTGATGCGTTTTTGAGCCGTTTTTGAGGAGGGGAAGGAAGGCGGTTGTCATGAAGAATAATTGCGGGACGTTTGTGCGATATACATCTTCCCAGTCTTTTATCGTTGCGTCTGGGTCGTCGAATAGGCTCTTGCGTAGGTCATTGGCGTTATCATGTTCCGTCGTTTGCGTATGGCTTGAGATACCGGCGTTGTTAATCAATATGGACAGATGAGATTCACGCTGTGAAATGGCATCCGCTAGGTTTTGAATTGACTCTTTGGATGTAATATCCGCCGGAACGGGAATGATGGACCCGGGGATCTCTTTGCCGTAGAGCTCAGCCACGCGATTGAGTTTTTCCTCTGTACGGCCCGTAATGTAGACCTTTGCGCCGTTGACGGCGAGTGTTTGTGTAGCCATTAGGCCTATGCCGGTGCCACCGCCGGATATGAGGGCAACTATGCTTGTTAGCTCTGAGCATCGAAGAGGAAGGTTGTACGTACCTTTATCCTTGACATTGAAGAGGTTGTCGAGTTTGAATTGTTGGTTATTTTGCTGGGCCTTTTGCCTCAATGAATCAGAAATTGCGTTATGGCATCTTGATGTTGAGAATGAGCTGGTTTGAATCGGGATTGCTCTTGGTTGATAGGCGAATTGGCGGAGCCGTGCACTTGTTGCTAAGCGTCGAGATACGAACATTTTGCACTACAGCTGATTGAAAATGCAATTAAATATTTAAGAGGATGAATACAGAAAAATTAAATTGAATAAACCACGCGGTTTTATGTAGTTCTTGTTCAGTATCAATCCGCTTGGATCAGTATGACGTCGACGGGTATACTTGGATTCGGACATTACGATTAATATACAATCACGCTCACAGTCGAGCCTTCTCCTCAACTGGAGTAACCTCAACCATCATCTTGCCCGTATTTGCGCCCTCGTACAAGTTCACCAATGCCCGTGGTGCCGCCTCCAGACCTCCGGGGACGATGTGCTCCCTGCGTTTGAGTTTACCCTGCGACAACCACGTCGCCAGATCATTAAGGGCTGTAGAGTATTTCTTTGCGTAGTCGAACACGATAAATCCCTTCATGGTGACTCGTTGCGACTGTTCCGGTTAGCTGTGCTCAGGAAAAAGACGTAGTAGAAAACTCACAATAACCGTCATGAAACTGGCCGGACCCTGCGGCTTGGCAGCATTGTATTGACTGATGGCACCGCAAATGGCAAACCGAGCATCGCGAGCCGCGCGTGCCAGACAAGCATCGAGAATCTCACCTCCCACATTGTCGAAGAACACATCAATATACTCCGGAGTAGCCTCCTTCAACTGCTTCTTCCAATCCGCATCCTTGTAGTTAACAGCAGCATCAAAGCCCAACTCCTTAACCAAGAAGTCACACTTGTCTGCGCTGCCAGCCAATCCAACAACGCGCTTCGCACCCTTGATCTTCGCAATCTGTCCGGCAACCATACCTGTCGCACCAGCCGCACCAGACACAACAACCGTATTCCCAGGCTGCGGCTGCCCAACCTCCAACATACCAAAGTACGCCGTGAGACCCGTCATGCCCAGAACAGACATGGCGTCCGTAGGCCGACCACCAGCCGGCACGGTAACCTTCTGCGCCTCCTTAGCCCCCAGAAGCGCATACTCCTGCCAGCCCGAGTACGCAACGACCCAGTCACCCGAGGCGTATTGGGATGTGAGGTCCGCGCCCACGGCTACGACCTGGGCGATGCTCTGGCCGCGCATGACGCTGCCGCGCTCGACGGGAGCAATGTAGGAGCGTTTGGCTGTGAGCCATTGGCGCATGGCGGGGTCGAGGGAGAGATAGTGTACGCGAACGAGGACTTTGTCCTGGGGGATGGATTCATTGCGGCCGTTGGGGAGGGAGGTGGTGTTTAGCTTGAAGGTGCCGTTGTCCAACGAGGGGTTGATGGCCGGCGAGGGCGTATTTGCGTAGATGACCTGACGGTTAGAGAGGGACATATTGTCTGTGATAATGAGAAAACGAAAGATGGATTAAGGACCAAGTTAGATATGGAAAGACAGCAGGACTTTATACGCAATCAGTGCTGAGGCCAAAGAACCTCGGGATTTCCCAATTCAGCCAAAGGGCCGTGTTATGTATTAATTCTTCGGCCTGTCCGTCTGTCTCCTTTTTGGGATTTTACCGAAATCTGCAGACCGTAATTCCTTTCCCAGAGATTTTGTGAGCAACTTGTCTTGTTTTGTTGTATTCCGAGTCTTGTAGAATAGTCTGGAGAGAATAGGCGATCTGTACAAATTGCATAATTTACTGCTGAGTCATGCACATAATTTATGTATGACATCATATCGATATCAGTCACGTACTATTCCAAAAATGGTTAGTGTACATAAACTCGAATCTGCCCTATCTAGTCCGTGTCAGCAGAGGAGTCGACAGCGAAAATTAAATCGACGTAGCGCTCAGGCTGGATCAGAAGTCAGTGGATGGGTTTACGTGCTGAACTTGTCTTGGGCCGTGGGTGTGAGGAATCTATGAGCTTGCCCGCTTGATGCGGAAGATTTAGAATGTCCAGCTATAGGGAACCGAAACCGAGAAATTAGATATTGAAAACGTTCTCATGATGTAGAGCATCGGGATTTCTCCCCATCATCCATATATATTCAGGTTGAACAGCAGTGAATTAGTGACAGATTCACTGTTGTCGGACCTAAAACAGAGACAGAAGATTCACTAAGTGAGTGAGAGAAAGTAGTGAAATACGTCCCATCCGTCTCTTCATAAAACTACCTGGGAATGCTACTCCTCAGATGATGAATCTCAATTTTTCATACAGCCTGGAGTGTTGTGGTCAATCGATTTACGAAACCCGTAACTGGTGACATTTGGTACACCTACGGGTTTGATGTGTACCCAGTGATGCACCAAAGCACGCCAAAGGAGAGCAGCTCCCCAACTTGGTTCAAGGAACTTGTTCTTTTCAATTGACTAGGCAATGCACCTAATCGACAGACCTTGACAATAGACTTTGGCCAGCACATTATCCCACGTCCCCTCACCCATATTCTGCGACACCGAGTATGAAGCCGTGGCGCTAAATTTTGCGACTATCATTCCGACCCTACAGCTCCTTTACTGTCCTTCTGTTTTCTGGTCCTGCTATACTGCTTTTGCCTTATACGATGGAAGCGAAAAGCATCAAGGAATGAGGTAGATATATACCCTACAGTATTCATCTATACAATAAATTCACCTTGGACAGAGGTCACGAGCGGGGAAAGGAGCTCGTTCCATCCACACTGCAGTGAGGGACTATAGATTGAATCTTAATGATTCCAGAGGATTTCCATCCTACAACGCAACCGAAAATCTGTCAACTCACGAACCTGTATACTCGAGCCGAAGCGCAAATGCGAGTGATCAGATACTATACACATACGAGTGTGCTACCGAATTTACCGAACCAGATAGCCTCATATTAATCAACGCCTCGATCGATACTAACCAACTGATGCACAGGGGTTGATGTGACCTTTCAGCCCTTTATCTGGAATGATGACCTGAAAAAAAGGCATCAATCGCGAGACCTGTTTGAAAGAGAGTGTTACTGATTGTAACACAGTTAATATCTAGTAACCGATGAAAGAATTGCATCGAGTGGGAAGCCAGCATATTCCTCGATTTCTCAACATATGCGGAGCCGGTCTCGGCCAGATCGCCAGATATATGAAGACAATGCAACAAATTCCTGGAACATGGCTTTTCAAGAATATAAATTGATCAATCCTCCTACATAAGGCCATGGAGGAGACCCTGACGTTATCTCCTCCAGTTGATCATCACTAGAGAGAGCAAGAACCCTTAGCGGGGCGATTAAAAGATATATGCAAAGGACACCCGTGATCTCATGCACTTCACAATGACACCTCCCCCCCCCCCAAGTCAAAGGCTCTTTTTCGCTCTGTGACTCGCTTCCCTCATTCCTAGGGAGGGACGCGCCCTTTCTGGGCAACACGTCCCCAGCACCGGGATCCCTGCCCATAATGATCAAACGGGCCTGCCATGGGTGGAATCTGTTGCGTCTTTCGTCCATGCGGCGAAGTACGCACGCTCTCTGAAATCTGGACTGATTTTCACGTGATGTTAATGGTCTATGGTCTGAAACCACCGCGAACGAGGCGCCCGGCGCTTGTTAAGAACCTGAGACCAGCTCAGCTGTAATAACCCTATCAGCTGCAGACATACACTGGGAAGATTTAATGCAACATGTCCCCAGCCTTCATTATGGTAGGTTTGGGTCATGCAGGGACGCAATCGGCTGTTTGTACAACAGCAGGCTCCTGAAAATTTGTTATAACCTACACAATGGACAACGTTTAGGCACCGACAGCAGTGATTCCGCCGGGACAAATCTGTGGATACGCCCAATGATCAACAACCCTATTCAGTTACAGTCATTTGACAATACAAAGTCAACCATTCCTCCTATAATAGGAGATAATGGGTGGAAATCGGACCATGATATCCTCTAATGCGTTACTGAAGCCCGTCGCCACGTCTACTCACGATCATACAATGCTCGTGACAACGCATTAAGCACCAGACTCCGAAAGATGAACCATAACGGATAGCACAGTTGACAACAGTAAACCCCGACAGGAGTGCTCTCGTCAGGACAAATCAATCCCTGGATACGCAAAGACAACACAGCAACCCTAGTCATATACGGTTTCCACAACCTCCCTAAAACGAAAATCATCTCTACTCTGTGTTAGGGGCCAGGCCCGGAGACACTAATGACTAGTTTGGCACAAAAGATTTCGTTGGGGAAAAGAGGAACAAATGCCCGATCGGGCGGCTCTATATACATGCGTGCGCAGTGCGGGTAAATAGTTCCTCCGATAGTTAACCTCTCCGTCCTGACTAAACATATCGCTTATGCGACAGGCGCAGCCTGTGACACTCTGCCCTAAATGCTCAGAGCAAGAATTGAGAGGGACACAATTCGCAAGAGGTCCGGTCCCATCCATAAAGCGCCGGATCTGGTGTCTTCGTGTTTGACACTCTTCAGAGCTTGTCTTAGATGCGTGGTCTTGTGAAGATTCTGAATTACAATTACACTTATCGCGAACTTGCATATCGCAGAGGCGCTCGAAGAGGAGCACCAGGTGATAGAAATGACTCTGCGCTTGTTTAATAATGAGCAATTAGGTGTCTTGTTCGCTGACACAACACATCGCGAGCCGCTATCGCTAAAATTATCCAGATTGTTGTCATATACAAACATTCCAGCTCGATTGAGACCGTAATGGTCAATTAACGGAGTACGGGTACAAAGTACACGTAGCTTCTCTGGAAAGGCGAGAGCACTATTACTCCCCATCAAGCCAGCACTGCCTTCTTCTCATCACTGCTGCTCTGATAAACACATACATGACACCAATCCGATTCCTGATCAAACGGAGCCGTATTCCAGAGACTAACAGAATGGAAAGTATGCAAATGCAATCTACCATACCTTTCCCAGCTATCGCACAGGAAGCTCTCATCGACCTCTGTTTACGGTATCACATCACCTCATGGAAAAAGGGGGCATAATATGATGTCACAGAGGAGAAGACCCTATGAGACTTCCCCATATCCAACCCTAAAGAACCATGTCTCCTTTTCCCGGGACTCTCTTTACATTGCATATTACATGCCTTGATCAAGGCAATTGGCGGAACGGGAAGATCGAGGGCAAACCCCCGTCCCAACTTTCTATAAATGCAGTGGTGTTGGATTACTCCGGTGAAGCGACGAAGGACATGACAGGTTGGTTTCAATCAGAAGAAGGCGATTGATTTGCAGAGCATGTGCAGCATGGTATGAGTTTGCTATCAATCTGTCAATCTGTCATATGCTGTCTTACATGCGTTGATCCTATAGACCTACCATATAGGAACACTACAAGACTACAACTATACTTTTGAGCATACTTAACAACTTGAAGTAATCATATAATTAAAGACCATACTAAAACAAAAACCAGTCTCAGCGAATCAAAACATAATCAAGTATGAAGAAACCAAAGCAAACCAGACACCCGAGTCCAGAGTCCAAGTCTAACTAAACTTAAAAAAAAAAAATATAAAAAAAAACTATACTGAATAACGATATGATAATCTCCTGATCACTCCGTGAAGCAAAAACGACTGCATGCTCAAATCAGATGAAATCAACTTTCCTGTTTCCCTTGCATGAATCAATCAATGATGGGGGTGTGACAAGATGAGTAAAAAGTATAATTGGCATTTGGTCCTCGAAAGGTAACCGGCCGAAAAGTATATCCAGAGAAGGAAAAGAGTTGATGAACGAGTGAAAAAAGACAAACGAAACAGCAGCGGGCGCGCTACCCGTATTGGTATATAAGTATCAATGTCAGTTCCGTATTTTACCCGCTTCCCGAACCTCATTGATGAACCCATCGTCATCACCGACCGACGAAAGAACCCAGTAATCCCCTTCCGACGCATGAGCGAGTTGTCCACCACCAAATCCTGCCGCAGGTGCCGCAGGCGCACTGTGTCGGTCCTTTGGCTTCGTACCCATATGACGCGGACCCCAACCGAGGATATTGCGCACGGCGATGCGGCTCTCGTCGTTGGGCGTAGTGAATCCGAACAACTGAGACTGGAGACAGCCCAGGACTGCGACGGCTGCGCGAATCATGATCCGGTCTCCTTCGAATACCCAGCAGTCCCACACGCGACTCAGGCGCTCCAGGTCGAGACCGTTTGAGAGAAGAGAGCGGAAGATCGGTTCCCAGATTTCTTCGTGGCTGAGTTTGAGGGTTTCGTAGAGGTGCGACGACAGGCGAGGGACCTTGTAGCGAAGCGTCGCCGACGCCAGTGTATAGGTCCGTTCAACAGCACCACGGTCCAGAGTAAGGAATGCCACGGGAAGTGGTCGGTTGAGGGCATTCGCCATGGCAAGGAATGCGGAAGCGGGTGATGGAAATTGAAGAACGAGCAGAGCTGCAATAGTGTGAAGGCCGTAAATGTAACCCACGTCACTGCGATACATCGAGTACGTCTGCAGGACATCAATCAACGTCTCCCGCAATGGTCCACCCTCCTGGAAGAGTTTCAAGTCCGGGAACGCCTTCGAGACATCCTCGTCGATCGCATCAAACCACTCCCGCATCCGTTTGTTGCTCTCCCCAGTATCACC